CAGGCTGGAGTGCAGTGGTGTGATCATAGCTCACATCAGCCTCAAACTCTTGGGCTTAAGTAATCCTTCTGCCTAAACCTCCCAAATAGCTGGAACTGTAGGTGCACACCACCATGCCCAGCTAATTTTTCCTATTTTTTGTAGAGACAGGTCTTGCTATGTTGTTGAGACAAGTCTAGAACTCCTGACCTCAAGCAATCCTCCCATAATGCTGGGATTACAGGCATGAGCCACCATGCCTGGCCCTGATTTCAGTTCTTTTAAATTTTTTAACATTTATCTTATGGCTCAGGATATGATCCATATTGGTCTATATTGCATGGTCATTGAAAAAAAGGTATTATTTCTTCTAATTCTGCTATTATTGGGTAGAATGCTCTATAAACACTAATTAAATCCTGTTGGTTGATGGCATTTATTGCTGAGTTCTATATCCTAACTGGTTTTCCGTTTAGTCGTTCTATCAATTGCTGAGTCTCCAATTATAATTGTAGGTTTGTCTATTTCTTCTTTCAGTTTTATCAGTTTTTGCTTCACATATTTTATAGCTCTATTGTTTGGTGCGTGCACATTTAGGGTTGCTATGCTTTCATGGTAGATTACCCTTTTGTTTTATGTAATATCTCCCTGGGTCACTGGTAATTTTTTTTGCTCTGAAGTCTGTTTTATCTGATGTTTTTACTTATTTTTGATTTCCTGATTTGGGGATTTTATAACTGAGGCTCTTCCCCTCGCCCCCTTTTTTTAAAGGAATATATCATTCGGGTGCAAAGAGGAATTTCTGCAGAAAACAGCTGGCAGGTAAGCATTTTTTTATCAATTAGAAAAATGTTTAAATTTGTGACTAAAACCTTGACTTGCGGCATCTAAAAATCTGGAAAAATCAGAACATGCATAAATATAAATCCTATTTCTTTTAGCTATAAACTTTTAAAATTTAGCTTTAAGATAAATATTATAACAGACTTTTCTGTTCCCAGTTTGGTTAAATTGTGTGTGATGTTACCATGGAGAGTATCTAGGAATTTGTTTTCCAGCTTAACCCAGAGCAAACAGTATATGCAAATTTACATGTTTTGTTCTAGAAATTCAAACCTCCTCCCCTGTGGCTGTGGGTAGTCTACCAGGTAGAAAGGTGAGACAGCATCCGGAATATTGTACAGTCTGAGACACTATATGGACTCCTAAGTTCACTCATGGGCAACTCTGGTGCTAGCTCCCTCATTTTCTCTGAGGAAGGGCCTTCTTGGGGCCCCAGGCTTTGTTTTCTTCCGTGGTGGCCTCAGAGTAAAAAAGACTTTCTGGATAGAGCTAGAGATCCTTCCCATCCTAGTTGACTTGAAGAGGGTGGCTAAATTCTGTATAGAAGCCATTTCTTTCCGGTCTTAGTAATTATAATTACCACCCCCACCCCTTCCCCTCATCCAAAAATCTTACCTTGTCTTTCATAGCCCAGCTCAAACCTTAACTTCCCACCTTAAGCAGTCTCTGACCACAGTGGCCCACACTTGGTCTTTTCTTTGCCTGAAATTTCAAACTGCTTTTTGTTTGAATAATTATTATATTTAACATCGATTGAGCACCTATTAAGTGTTCAGGACTGGTTCAAGCAAGCACATTAATTCATTTAACCCTTTAAAAACAGTCCCCGGCTGGGCAAGGTAGCTCATGCCTGTAATCCTAGCACTCTGAGAGGTCAAGGAGAGAGAATCGCTTGAGCTTAGGAGTTTGAGGCCAGCCTAAGCAAGACCGAGACCCTCTTTCTACTTAAAAAAATAGAAAAATTAGCTGCGTGCAGTGTCATGCACCTGTAGTCCCAGCTACTTGAGAGGCTGAGGCAGGAGGATCGCTTTAGCCCAGGAGTTTGAAGTTGCAATGAGTTACAGTGATGCCACTGCACTCTAGCCAGAGCGACACAGCAAGACTCTGCCTCAAAAAAAAAAAAAAAAAAAGAAGTCCTATATGGTAGTATTATTTATTCCCTTTTTACATTTAAGAGGTAAGTAACTTGTCAGAGGTCACACTTAGATCATTGGCAGTACAGAATTGGAATTTGTATATTCTTTGTGGTTAACCACTGTCCAGTCTTTTGCTTCTTGGCTCTTACAAGGGATGGCTTTATATTTAACTTTTTGATGTGCATTTGGCAAGCAGGGCCAACAGCAGTGTCCTACCAGAAAAATCATCCCTTGATGCAGTTTTCTAGATCCATTACATTAGAAACCTGGGGGCATATAGACTCTTGGGCCCCATCCTAGATATACTGATTAGGTTCTCTGTGGGTGGGGTTGGTATAATAATATCGATACCTTTCCTTCCCCATCGTAAATGTCATGGCCAACACTCCTATAACAAAAGGCAGATTAACAAGGGAAAAGCACAACAAATTTATTTAATTAAAGTTTTACATGATATAGTAGTCTTTAGAAACAAAGATCCAAAGACTCAGTAAAAATGGAAAACTGTCCATTTTTATGCTTAGCTTTGATAAAGAATGGACAGCTGTGTAGAAATGTGATTGGACCAAAAGGGTATGAGCTAATGGTAATAGACTGAGGCGGGTGGAGGGGTGACCTAGCAAGACCTGTCTGTCCAGATTCTTGTCTACCTCTCTGTGTAACAGTCCATCCTCCTAGGTATGGGGCAGGACTCTTTTGGAAGGAGGGTCTTCAGGGGGGAAGGGAGAGAGTGACCTTTCTAGGTTTTATGGCTTGTTTTGGGAGAGAGGGGTTCTAGTTTCTATGACCTGCCTTGGGGAAGAGGGATTCTGGTTTCTATGACTTGCTTTGGGGAAGATAGAGGAGCTGGAGAAAGGAGGGCAGAAGGCCAGAAAGGCCTTGCTTTTGAGACCTTCTAGTCTCCCTTAGTGCAAAGTACTGAGCATACCAAAGTGGCATACTTTGGGGTGGCATTTTCTGAGCCCCAGCAGGTGATGTCCGGGTAATTCTTTTGCACACTAATATTTGAAAATCACCAGTAAAGGATGAAGACAAACTATTTATTGTAAAGCAAAATAATTTTCCTGATTTGAGCCAAAAGAGCTAGTAGAATTTGACATTGAATCAACAACATCAATACAACTAAGAGAGAATATGTAGACAGTGGAAGGTGGGCTGTCTGCCAAGAGGGGGAAACCTGGGGAATCAGGGTGAGGTGTGACAGCTCTGCCTGCAGGTGCAGTCCAGTCTCCAGGGTGGTGGGATCTCAACTGGAGGAAGTTTTATCCGGAGCAAAGGTGTCTACCCACTTTCGCTTTGATTCCATGTTCAATAAAACTTTAAAAAAAAAAATTTGTAAATTTTTTCTAGGTACCTGGTTAATAAGAAAGATATTTGAAGGGCTATTTACCCTGAAAACAAATACTCTCACCTGTTGATGTCTTGTGAGTTTAGCTGGCATTACCTAGTTTCCCTTGGCCCAGCCAACTCTGGGGCACTGCTAGGTCTGTTTTTCAGTCCTGTCGAGTTAAACAAGTTAAGCACCAGGTATAAGCCCTACTGCCCTTAGCACAAGTGCCTTAGCTCTGGAGTACCAATATTACTAATATTAGTAAGTATTAAATAAGGAAATGAAAAGAGATGGTCTTTGCTGAATCAAAACACCACTGTCTTGTCTCTTACAGATTGTTAGAAGATACAGTGACTTTGATTTGCTGAACAACAGCTTGCAGGTAAATGTTTTAAAACTCCAATGATACATGTTGATTGCCTGGGGTGTCTCAGAAACTGGTTGGAAATACCAGTATCAGTAACAAGAAATGAGCACATTTCCCTGGCAAGGAAGATAAATTCATACTTCAAACAGATGATGTGTGGGAATAAACATGTGATTTATAATTAATAGTCACCTTGCAACTGAGTACCTTTGTGCCAGACTGTATCCTTACCACAATCATAGGGCGCTGATGTATTATCTCCTTTTCATAGATTAGGAATGATGAAGTGGATTGCTAGTTGGGGCCGGGACTCTCTCAGACCGTCCACTGAATTAGGCTCACAGTCAGCGCTGCAGACGCACGCTGCAACAGGAACTGTAGAGACTTGGCATTTTCGGTTTAACTGTTTTCCTCCTAAATGTGTATTTTGCAATCCCTTTGATTTAAATGTTTCTAACCTGATGGCCATAACGGAAAGAAGGATGGATTGCAAAATCTTTGTCTGGAAACACAGCCAGTGTGGTAATGGTTGAAGGGTCCAAGAGGGGCTTTTGCACCACGGGAAGTATTGGCAACACCAGCCATGTCTGTACCTGGCACACTGGTCTTCAAGTACTGAGGATTACTGAAGACCACTGAACTTGTGTTACATTGCAGATTTGGTTGGTAACATAAAACCCCTTTAATCTGAGCCAGAGTGCTTGGCTCATGACCAGCTCAACCAGGAGGTAAAGAACTGCTCCCTTCATTGGTGGACTAGCAACTAGCCATCATCACTTATTCGGAGTGACCTCTGATCTTGTCCTCAAAGGTCAGGAGGACTGTGGGCTAGGAGGGAGCATAATGCTTCCTTTCCTTCAAAAGGCCACGTTTTGTTGATCAGACTTTTTAGCATTTTTAGAGTCCAAACTTTAATGTTACTTACAACACTGCTGAAAGCATGAATGCCTTATTTTCCTTCTGGAGAAATTGGTATGACCAGTTTAAATCTGCAGATAGAATATTGGCAGGGATTGAATTCTCCTCATTGTCGGGTTTAATTGGTTTTATTTTTGGATTTTAATAGCATTGTCTTTTAACTCAGACAAAAGCTGGGCCTATGATGACATTGTAGATAAGGCAACAATGTGCAGTTTATTCCAGTGGCAAATTTTTTCCTCAATTTCCCCTCCCCCTATGCAGTGGCCCACAGGCCATTTCCACACTGGTATAGGCATTTGGGAGTTAACACTGGGCCTATTAAGCATTTCTGCTTTTATGTACGAGTGAACCTCTGCCCAGTATTAAAGAAGGGGGAGTGATCTTTGTATAATGTCATTCAGCCAGAGCTGAGTAAGAATTGTAGGAGAAATATTTATGAAATTGAGATTGCCTAGACCTAGTTTTTGAGGATAGAGTGTGGGGAGGAGGGTTTTATCTCCCATTTGCTCATACTCTGGAGATATAAGGTTGAACCTCCAGAACTATTCACTTATGGCTTTTTTTCTTTCCTCTCCTCTCCTCTCCTCCCCTCCTCTCCCCTTCTCTCCCCTTCCCTCCCATCTACCCCTCCCCTCCCATCCACCCCTCTCCTCCCCTCTCCTCCTCCCCTCCCCTCCTTCCCTCTCCTCTCCTCTTCTCTCCTCTCCTTTCACAGGGTCTTGCCCTGTTGTCAGGGCTGGAGTGCAGTGGCATCAGCATAGCTCACTGCAACCTCAAATTCCTGGGCTCAAGCAATCCTCCCACCTTAGCCTCCTGAGTAGCTGGGACTACAGGCACATAACACCATTCCCAGCTAATTTTTCTGTTTTTTGTAGAGACAGGGTCTTGCTATGTTGCTCAGGCTGGTCTTGACCTCCTGAGCTCAAGCGATCCTCCTATCTCGCCCTCCCAAAGTGCTAGGATTACAGGAGTGAGCCACCGCGCCCAGCCCACTTATGGTCTTTTTAATATAATAAATTTTATTTTTGTTTCAGTATAATTTTACCTTTTAAAAAGGTCACTTTTGGGCTAATGCCTATAATCGCAGCACTTTAGGAGGCCAAGGCAGGAGGATCACTTGAGGCCAGGAGTTCAAGACAAGCCTGGGCAACATAGCAAGACTTTGTCTCTATAAAAAAAAAAAAATTAGCCATGCATGGTGGCACACACCTATAGTCCTAGCTAATCAGGAGGCTGAGGTAGGAGGATTGCTTGAGCCCAGGACATTGAGGTTACAGTGAACTATGATTACACCACTGCACCCCAGCCTGGGTGATAGAGCAAGACTGTGTCCCTAACAAAATAAATAATAAAGATTTAAAAATAATAATAAAAAGACACAACAGAGTTTGCTTCTGGTCTCTGTGTCGCCACCATGAGAAGACACAGGAAGACGGCCACCTGTGAATCAGAAAAAGGGCCCTCACCAACCATGCCGTCACCCTAATCTAGACTTCCAGCCTCTGTTGGAAGTGAATTTCTGTTGCTTATAAGCCACCCAGTCTATGATACTTTGCTATAGCAGCCCAAACTAATGAAGATGCTATTAAAATACTATTATATAAAAATAAAATAAAATAAAATGTTCACTTTCAATGTGAATCTTATTTCAAATGCAAACAACCTCATGTATTGATGTTGGCTTGTGTTGGGCAGAATATGGCCAGACATCATTTCAGTGGGAGGTTTTCTGGAACCAAGTAAACAAACAGAAGAAAGTATGTACAGCTTTTTGGCAACAAAATGAATTCAAAACAATCTTTTAAAACAGACCAAAAAGACTCAACAGCCTCAGAATAAAACTGTGACCATGATTTTCAGTGTCAAATTACCCTTTTCACAGATAAACGAGTTCCTGCTGAAGAAAGAGAAATGTAATACACATATGCAGAGTAGTCTGAGTCCAATAGGAACATGTGTAAGTGAAAAAAAGCAGAATGTAAAATTGTACATGCAATATAATATAATTACATGCAACACTTAGAAAAAAAGGATTGGAAGTAAATATGCCAAAATGTTAATGGTAATCCCCAGGTGGGGGCATTATGAGTTATGTTTTTTTTCTGATTCTTTATACTGTTCTGTTCTTTCCAAGTTCTCTAGAAAAAAACATGTGTAAGCTATCTAATTAGAAAAATAGAAAAATGCTGTGTTTTCCCAACTTTTGATAGTGAGCATATTTTGTGGTAACGACAAAGAAAAATCACCCCCTTATTTTAAATGCAACATCAAATTAGCAACCATGTAGGGAGATGATGTACAATAACGAAAAAGAAAGAAGCAGGAGGTTGAAATGTTGGGAACTGGGCAGAGAGGGAAACCCAGGCTCTGCCCCTTAGACTTGGCAAGGAAGCCAGGCTCTGCCCCTTACCAGCACTGAGACCTTGGGTCATTTCTTCTCTCCGGCCTCACTTGCCCCATCTGAAAAGAAGGGGTTAAACTAGATGACTTCTGAGGTGTCTTATAGCACAAATGTTTTGTGATTTGAATTTTGCTTCCCATTGTTGACCTTGGAATGACATGACTTATGCCAGGGGGAAACTGGAACAATTGAGGATTTGTCAAGATCTTAGAACTCCCTAGAATACTGGCTGGAATGTGGTTGAAGGCAGATTATTAAGACCTGATGATGGAAGTGAGTAAGGAGAGATGAAAAGATCGAGTCTGGAGGTTTTCCCTCTAGATAAAAGCTACTTTTCTGGAAACTGTAATGTAGTTTGTCATGTAATTTAGAGGCTTCTTACTAGGCTAGCATAGGTCAAATTATGGGTTCTAGATCCTACTTTGGGAATCATTCCCCTTTTACTTGTCACTCGGCAGTTGTTACAAATGGAACTCAGGGACTTTTGGCTTTCTTGTTTCCTTTTCCTTCTATTAATATAAGAAATTCAATATAGGGCATGTTAAAGAGGAAAGGTAGCAAAAGTGAGATGATGAGATGTCCTGGCTTGAAGTCATCAATGTGGAGGTGTGCAGGAAACCAGTGGCTTAGTGACTTTATCATCCATGTGCTAGTATTCCTTTTCCTCCCTTCTAATTAGTCATTGGAGTTTTAAATTTTATATCCTGTAATTGGTAAGCATTTTAGAAATTCTAGGAAAAAGCTAAAATAGAAAATAAGTATCTCTTGAATGCTAATCTTTTTTAAAAGGGAAGATTTCGAAATAATATACATGTTGCATAGTTTGAATACTTTTAGGAATATTGTGAGATCTTAAACTTAGGGCAGGAAAACCACCTGCATTCTGTTTGACATTAGCAGGGACACTTATTTTTTTTGAGACAGTCTCACGCGGTCACCCTGGGTAGAGTGCAGTGGCATCACCATTGCTCACTGCAACGTCAAATCCCTGGGCTCACGTGATCCTCTTGTCTCAGCCTCCAGAGTAGCTGGGACTACAGGCATGTGCTACCATGCCCGACTAATTTTTTCTATTTTTTTAGTAGAGACGGAGTCTCGCTCTTGCTCAGGCCAATCTCAAATAATCCTTCTGCCTTGACCTCCCAGAGTGCTAGGATTACAGGCGTGAGCCACCACACCGGCCTAGCAGGGACACTATAATTGTAGCTGTTGGCAAAAGAAGTCTGTGTTTCACTTGATGATTAACAAGAACTGATGGGATGTCTGGGCAGATCAATACATTTTTTAAAGCAAAATGAAGCTTGAAAAAATAGATTGGTTGAAGCTTGGAGGCCACAGAGTTCAAAACAGGTACTTTATCAAATTCATTCTCACATTCCCACCATGAATGAAAAATAGCCAAAATATTGGGATTCGAGTGTGATGATATCAGACGTGACTCTCTATTCTGAGCAATGTGGGATTCAGTTGAGTCTGCTGTTATGTAGGTAATGCAGGCAAATCTGCTAATACTGGTTAGTGGTAATTTTTAAATTCCTTGCTGCATTTACAATCAGTTTGATAAACAAAAGGAATTTTCTTTCTTTTTTAATTGAAAAAGGCAGCAAATGAACACTGTCAACATTTCATAGTGGAGAAATAAAAATTAACCAACCTGCTCCCAGAGGTGCCTGTTGTTAAGCATTAAACAGTTGGTGTGAATCCTGTAGACATTCTTGTGCCTGTATAACCATATCCCCGGGCTCATACAGCAGGACTTTGAATAACATCGTGTCATTCAACAACCTTTGGTTGTAACGTTGATGAGAAAAAAAATCGATTCCTGGCGGGGGCCATTATCTGAGTGGAGTTTGCACATTCTCCCCGTGTCTGCGTGGGTTTTCTCCAGGTACTCCAGTTGCCTTCCACATCCCAAAGATGTACAGGTTAGGTGAATCGGCGGGTCTGCGTGGTCCCATACTGAGTGAGTGTGGGCGTCAGAGCGCCCTGCGATGGAGTGGCTCCCTGTCCAGGCTGGGTTCCTGCCTTTAACCCTGACCTGCCAGGATAGGCGCTGGCTACCTGTGACCCTGAACTGGGGAAATGGAGTAAATAATTATCTTGTTTTTATCTTTCTTAAATGTATATATAGCTTGCATTTATTTCAGTGTTTAATATTAGAAGTGTTTTGGGTCTTTAGTTAGAAGTTTGGTGATGTTTTGTGACCAGAAATATACCAAGGATCTTAACTCTTGTTTATATCAACTAGTCTATAGTAAAATTGGTTATGTATTTGTTCCACTTAAAGTCACAGTTTCCAAGAACCTATAGACGACATTAAGGGAGGACTTACTGTACACACACACACACACACATAAATGAGGTAATATTCTGCAGCTTCATAAAATGGTTTTAAGAAAGATATATCAGTTGTGTTTTAGATAATACATTACCCTTGATTAAATACTTCATGCACCTGAACAAAAAAAAATAAAACTATTGGCTTGGATGTGGAATAGCTGAATGATTTACTTTCTTTATAAGTATGCATTTTATTTAGCTAATAAAGAAACTGCTATTAGATAAAGCCTAATTGTACGAACAAGGAAAATGACCTGAAACCTAAGTGTCTTATTTGGAAATGAATTATGCCATGATAGTAAATTTAAGTATGCTCTGACAATTTTCATAATTATGTTGGAGAAATAGGCAATTTAGAATTGTCAGCCAACCTTTTCATCTTGTCCAGTATCAAGTTCGAGGTCTTCATTTGGCTGCATCATTGTTGTTTGAAGAATGCAGAGTGGAACAGTCTAAGTTAGGTTTGCCCACATGAGTGTTTCAGAACCTCCTTTTCTGATTCAAGATGCCCTTCTCTTTAGCTCTTACCCTCAATCAATGCACATGCCACTGGACTGCTCTGATATAAGCACAAGTGTAGAATAGCACTACTCTTTGAAAGTGACTTTGCTAATTAAATTAAAATGCCAATTTGATGCTTTGTTTTTAAAGTTCAAAAAATAAACTCAAAGTTTTAAATGCTCTGGAAAATGATAGTAGATTAAGCATCTGTATTTACTTTTCCTCTGTCCTCAAATCACTCTAAAACAATAAATAGTAAATTGACTTTATACACACACATACACCCTCAAGGATAAACAGAATGGGAGAGGAAAAAACTGCAACAAAACGCTTTAAGCTGAAAATCCAGTGGGTGAGAGCTAATTAATTAAGGAGATATAGGAAAGCAGAATTCTGAGATGGGAAGCAGATAATCCTATGGGTCCCAATTTACATTACAGAACCTCCAAAGAGTTCAGCCATTGGAAGCACCAAGGTGAGGAGGAGGTCAAGCTAGAATCAGGAGTTGAAAGGCTGTTTAAGAAGCAGTCAGATCCCCAAATGTCCCACATCTGAGCAATTTACACCTGCCCTCCTCCCTCCAGTAAAAAACTGGAAGTTTATTCTCTGGAGAGGGTAAAACAGTCTTTAGGCTGGGGAATTCGGACACAATTGAAAACATTTACATAATGTATGTGAGCACTCCCCCAACCCCACAAACCTCCTTCCTCTTAGCTCCCAGAGTTTTCTGGCAGTCAGGCTTTAGATCCTCCAGGAAGGAGACTAGAAGGTTTTTTTGGGGGGAATTTTCCCAGCCTCAGAGGAAAGAGCTAAGCATTCCTGCAATGAAACAGCTGAGTGGTGTCATCTGATAAGATAAAACCTACAGTAGATGAGCCCCAGCTATTCACCAGAGGTCCCAGTCAGCTCTTGGTGCCCCACTCTTAAATGTGAGCAGATAACCAAGGATCCAGACTCCTACAAAAACACTGTTTTATTATTTCAGTGTTCTGATTGGATTTGAACTTCATTTAAAGAGTATATAGATATATAACTAGTCTGATCAGCTGCTAATATATTTTGACATCCCTTTATTTTTATACCCAAGAACCAGTTCACTTTTTCTCCATGTTCCATATTTACCTTTGGTAAAATTTTGCCATGTTCTTCCTCATCTGTTACAGAAGTGTTAGTGTTTCCACCTACCTGCTTGGTGTAAGTTGCTCTTTTAGTTTTATTCCTGTGGATATATTTTGTAGGACTTTTCTGTTTTTTTTCTTTTTTTTTTTTTTTTGAGACAGAGTCTCACTCTGTTGCCTGGGCTAGAGTGCTGTGGCATCAGCCTAGCTCACAGCAACCTCCAACTCCTGGGCTCAAGCAATCCTCCTGCCTCAGCCTCCTGAGTAGCTGGGACTATAGGCATGCGCCACCATGCCCGGCTAATTTTTTCTATATATTTTTGGTTGTCCAGATCATTTCTTTCTATTTTTAGTAGAGACGGGGTCTCGCTCTTGCTCAGTCTGGTCTCAAACTCCTGAGCTCAAACGATCCTCCTGCCTCGGCCTCCCAGAGTGCTAGGATTACAGGCGTGGGCCCGGCCTCTTCTGTTTTTTTTCTAAACTCCACTGCTCAACATCCCACAACATTATCTTCCCATCATTTCTTCTTTTTTTTTTTTAATTTCAGGATATTATGGGGGTACAGATGTTTAGGTTACGTATCTTCCCATCATTTCTGACAGAGAATAGACCTGGGATACCCCCAAAGTGTGGCCTTCAAATGCTGGTTCCTATTCACATCTGACTCCCACTATGAAACACTTTTAACATGAATGATAACAACCCAAACAAAGAGGAAAAAAGGAACCTCCAGGAAGCAGAAAGTATGTAGTAAGAAGAATGTTTCAGGCACATCACAAAGGCTGTCTTTTATCATCTTAGAGAGACAAGAAATTGTATTACGTTCAGGATGCTATTAAGGGGGAAAAAAAGAATAGAAAAGAGCACTTACAAATAAAAAAGATGATAGTAGAAGTGAAAACTCTTTAGAAGGGCTGAAAGGTAGGGAAATATATATACCTTTTAAAGATAGAAAATAGAAAAGATAAGAAAATTAGAGGACCAGTCTAGGAGGTCCAACAATGAAAAATAGGAGTTCCAAAAAAAGAAAGCAGAGGGCATGGAGGGGAAGAAATAATGACCTAATACAAGAAAATACCAAAGAACTTAAGGGTATTGGTTTCTAGATTGAAAGGGCCGAGGACTCAACATAAAGGATGAAAATAGACTCAATAGAGGCACATGAAATTCACAAACTGAGGCCAAAGAGAAACAATAACAACAACAACAAAACAGGATCAAGAATCAATATGCTTAAAGCTTTGACAACACTGTAAACTAGAAGACAGTAAAGTAGTTCTTAAAAATTCTGAAGAAAAAGTATTTCCAACATAGTATTCCAATCAAGACTAGCTATAAATCAAGTGTAAGGGGAAAATAAAGACATTCTTATACATGCAAGCTTTCAAAATATTTATCTCCCTTGCTCTCCTTTTAAAAGATGATGAGAGATTATGCTCTACCAAAAACAAGAGAATTATATAAGAAAAAGGAAAGTATGGGATATAGAATGGGGTTCAGCAAGAGAAAGGCAAAAGCATCTCCAGGATGAGGATGAGGGGCGATCCCAGGATGCCAGCTCTGCAGCAGTGTAGGGACCACCAGTCCTGCTTGGAGCAGGCCAGTGGGCTCCGGAAGGTACTCCTCAAGAAGATAAAATTTATATATCTGTGTAGCTGAGTGTGTTGAATGAAAGCTTGGATGGAGAGTTTGGAGTTGAAAAGAAACCCAAAAAAAGGACCACAGATTGTTGGAAAGGAAAAATAAGCATAGCTCTTTAGCTTAGTTGTGAATATCATATACCTAATGTAAATGTGAATATTGCACTAAATAAAATTGTAATATAATGATATCAGAAGGATTAGGGACAGGATATGTTTGGTATAAGGTCAGGATTGTGAAAGAGGACTTAATCCTCACCTTCCACTGTGGGAAATTTACAGATAATGGCTAAAATTGAAAAATCAAGATATAACAATATGAACAGCCCCCAATGTCAAAAGATCAGCTGAAAGAATTGAATGTGGCTGTCTTAGGGGACAGCGGTAGGCGGCAGGGGTGGGACTGCCAATAATAATTTAAACTATTTGTTCTTGAAATTATGTTTATAACTTTAGTAAAAATAAAAAAGTTACTATGCTTAATATAGTATTTTATCAATTCTAAGATGTCAAGTTCTTTCACATTTTATAATATCACTGCAATTAGGATGCATCTTAAAATCTATGTTGTCTTAGATATAATGAATTTGATTGTTCAGGATTTTGATATCGAATCTTATTTGTGGGTGGCATGAGTATAATACCTTTTTTGTTTGTTTGTTTTAGATTGCAGGCCTAAGTCTACCTCTTCCTCCTAAAAAGTTGATTGGTAACATGGATCGTGAATTCATAGCTGAGAGACAGAAAGGTCTTCAGAACTATCTCAATGTTATCACCACAAATCACATTTTGTCTAATTGTGAGCTGGTTAAGAAGTTTTTAGATCCAAACAACTATTCTGCAAACTACACTGGTAAGCACAGGATTCTATGAGCTGCGGTCACATGGCTAAAGAGGCACTGTATTTTGCTGGACAGCATGTGGGAGAAACTCTACTTCCAAATAGGGAAATTTGTTATAGGATATTATTTATTTACTAAGACTTACTTAATTGTAGTTTACTACAGATGTATAAGAAGAAAATAATTTACTTCCAAAATGTTTGTAATGTCTGCACAGAAAAATATGGAAGAGAAACTATCATGTCTGTATACTTACAGTCTTGTCTTTATTATCTCCCCTGACAGAAGAGAGAGTAAATAATCCACAATAATGTATACAGTGATCCCAATTTGATTTGTGTTTGGCTCTGTTTTTGTATATGTAATATGTAGTGTGTCTGGTTTTCCTGGGAATTTAATTTAAACACAATACTGATTGAGAAGGGTCCTTTCTGTCTTCCCATTTGCTCCCTGAGACCCACTCAGTGCAATGCACAGGAGGTAGTTCTCTTCCGGATCTTTCCTGGATCAGGGCAGCTGCCAAGAGCTGAGGTAGAAAGGGCTTCTCTTCCAATACCGATCACACACAAAGCCGGCATCAAAACCTAAGCCTGATGTCAGCAGAATGAGGAACTAAATATTTAATACACTCTGGTGTGGCTTTGAAGAGACCAATAGAAACTGTTGTAGAACTGAACCAATGAATAGCATTTAACTGATTTGTTAAAAGCCAAACCATGCTTCAGAGGCTTTCTAAGTGGAACTCTGGGTATTGTTAACTTCCTTGCTTAGACAATAGATTGTATCAGATAATTAAGTTCTCAAAACATTGCCTTTGAAGTAATTAGAGGGAGGCATTTTTTTATTCCTGCTTTAGAGAGAGGGAAATAGAGGCCTACTTATCAGGCACCAAACTTTTCTGCATATTGAAATCACCTGGGGAGCTTTAAAAACTCCTAATGCCCAGGCTGCATGCATGCAGATTAAATCACAGTCTCTGTAGGTGGGGCTTGTAGTTTGTAAAGCTCCCCAGGTGATTCCAATATTCAGCCAAGTTTGACAACTACTGCCCTTGAGGCCTCCACTCACAGTGTGGTTCTCTGACCAGCACCATTGGCATCCCTGGGAGCTTGTCAAAAGTGTGGAATTCAGTCCCCATCCCAGACCTCCTGAATTAGGATCAGTTTAACAAGGTCCCCAGGTGATCTGCAGGCACTTGAAAGTGTGAGAAGCCTTTGCTCTAGAACGTACCTGCCATTTTGTAATGGAAGTGCTGCGTGAGGCTGAGGAAAATGCCTTTCCACAATGTAACCAAAAGAAGGAAAGTTTATTTGAAACTCACATTTACTGTAAGTTATAAAATTGAGCACTGAGTTGTTAAAAAGGATTCCATTCTTCCCCCACTCGTTTTTGGTTCACATAAAAGACATCACAGATAGGACTGGGGCTCTTGGGACAGTTCAGATTCTGTCAGAGTAGCATCTTTTGTGCCTTTCATTTCTCCATACTTCCCCATGATTGTTCCTAAAATTGTCAAGACAGCAGGCCATCTGGATCGACTTATCAAATCAGCCCCCACCCAGCCCTGTTCAGTGGTTCGTCTACATCATTTCCTGAGAGTGCCTGCTAGTGTTCTCCTGCGGGCAGGCATCAAGGTGCAGTGCAGATGTGATGATGCCATTCATTCAGCACACACTGACGTGTGCCCGGCTGGGTGTTGGGGATACAGACACAAAGCAAATGTGCTCCTGCTCTCAGGGAGCTTTTACCAGAGCTACATTGAGTCACATGGGGTCAGAGCTGAAAGAGGTCTTAGAGCAGATGTATCAAGACTAACCCTCTCTTTTTACAGATAAGCTAAACTAAGGCCCCCAGAGAGGGAGGGCCTTACCTGGGGTTGCACACTGGAGTGACTTGAGTCTGGTCTGAGTGCTTTGAAGTTAAAATGCTACTCTGCTGCGGGGAGGTTGTCGGATCTCTGTATTTCTTTCTGTACCTCCCCCACGCGCTGCTGCAGTCCTTCATCTTTCCCCTCCCTGCCCCCGGCACGGCAGATGGTCAGGAGTCCAAAGCAAATGTGGGCAGGGGTATAAAAAGACCCCCAGAAACTCCTGCCAGAACCAGAACCAGCCTGATTTATTTTCCCCTTTGAGTGAAATGTCAGGATTTGTCGTGCCTCTAGGCTGACTCACCAGCCACCTCAGGAGAAGGAAGCACAGGCACCACCCATGCCAGCCTGGCAGAACCATTCCCGGCGCCCTGAGGGTCCCCTGCACACCTCCCAACTTCTGGCACTTCTCTAAGCAGGGCCAACCACTTTTCTCTTTCCATGTGGGCAATGTTTCTGCCTCCTCTCATTTTCCAAACAGTCTGAGGTCACCACCAAGCTTCACTTCAGCAGGATTTGAGTTCTGTGTTCAAGTGGTGGCCAAAATCAACAAAGCACTTTTCCTGTTTATTGCTCTGAGGTTGAGGCTGCTTTGTGGGAGGGAGACTGTGATGCCTTCCTGGTCACCAGGGAATGGGTAACCAGGAGTTCTCAGGACATCAGCAGCTGTCTTCTCTCTTCCCTGCAGCCCCAGCTTGGGATTGCTGAGCCTTTCTTTCTTTTTCTGGTTTTCTCCAAACGAGCAAATCCACAGAAAGGAAATATAGGCCCTCAGTCTTCTGTGGAGTTGTGAGGTGTTCATTTGAATTAAAAAGTCTAGGCTGAGCGCAGTGGCTCATGCTTGTAATCCTAGCACTCTGGAGGCTGAGGTGGGAGGATCGCTTGAGGTCAGGGGTTCGAGACCAGCCTGAGCAAGAGCAAGACCCTGTGTCTACTAAAAATAGAAAAATTAGCCTGGTGTGGTGGTGCGCGCCTGTAGTCCCAGTTACTTGGGAGGCTGAGGCAGGAGAATCACTTGAGCCCAGGAGTTTGAGGTTACTGTGAGCTAGGCTGATGCCACAGCACTCTAGCCTGGGTGACAGAGTGAGACTCTGTCTCAAAAATAAATAAATAAATAAGTGAAAATGAAAAGTCTAACTGAGAGCCGGCTATTGTACAGGGAAAGCAGGTGTCTCCCAGTCATGAGGTGTTGAGAATCTTGCACCCCGCCCTTATTCATCTTATTAACAAGGCGCTTCCGTCATTTAAAAGCCTTATTGCACTGTAGCCATCTTCCTACCTCAAACCTCATATCCCCTCAGAGTAAAGCGGTTTTCATGTCCACACAAAACTCATTTGGACCAGAAATCAAGAAGCCTGGATCCGGGTCCCAGCTTTGTCATCACCAGCATTTCCCTCTGTGGGTCTCAGGGTCCTGACCTATAAAACAAGCAGGTGGGAGGGGGAAGTGGACCAGGGAGTGCTGCAGTTGCCTTGTAATCTTAAACCCTGGGAATCTCTTGACTAGGTAGAATAGTAGTGGGCTCCAGGATAGAAGGAAGGAGGGATTGGGGTGGGGGTTATTTTCAGAACAAGAGCAGGATGTTTTGGAGAGGTTCAGGCCTCTCTGCAACACGACCTGCCGTAGTAGACTGGGGTCTGGACCCCAGTTCCAGGCCTGCAGGAGACAGTGTTTGTTCTCTGCAGTCACTCCATGGGCCTAGGATCCAGGAGTTCAAAGAGTGCACACAGTGAGGGCACCGCGTACATCTGAGCTCTGTGGGAAGCACAGGATGGACTTGAAGGCTTTGCTCTGCATTTCCTGTCTCCAGCTTGTTTATCAGTGCTTTTTCTGAGTGTGCAGTTTTTCTGCGTGTGTCAGTCAGTATTAAAGAAACAGAGGGCAGATGCCTTGCTTTTCATGGAGTTCATGTTCTAATGAGAGAGAAGTTCCACATCCATTGAACATGTATTGAACCCTTTGTTCTTGCTTCATCAAATATTTATTGAGCACCCGCTATGTGCCAGGTGCTATGTATATTGCAACAAAGAAGCAATAGGCCCCCCACCCCCTACCCCAAGACACTTACTCAGGGAAATTGACAGGTGAAGGCTGTGGCAGGACAATAGGCAGCACCTTGGGGATGAGGGTGGGGGCACAGATGATCCAGACCTAAAGACAGAGGAGGGCTTCCCAGTAGATGTGATACCTACACTGAGTTCTGAGGGCTGAGTTGAAGTTAGCCAGGCCAAGAGTCAGGGGCCAGTGCTCCAGGCAGAGTAGCTTGAGAAGAGAGAGAAGTATTTCCATATGGCTTTGGGCTTTACTTAGATTAAGATGTATCCTTCCAGCCAGAGTTTATAGTCAAGAGGAAGAGAGTAGCCCTAATACAGGACTTACAGTGGGTAGTCCCATTAGAGAACAACAGACAGAGCGCTGGGAGTGTACAGAGGAGAGGGGTGGAGGGAGTCCTGGCTAGGGGAGTAGCAAATTTGGTCTGAGTCTTGAAAGATAGATGATGGGTCAGATGGAAAATGCCAAGGGAGTGGGAGCAGGCCAGGCTTTAGGGCCCATAGTAGGCAAACCTAGAGTACAGCGAGGCCCCACCCACTGTAGAAGATAAAACCAGAAAGGTAGGTTAAAGCCAGAGGTAGGCTGAGTACTAGGTTTAGAAGCTTGATTCGGTAAGGAATTGGGGAGCCAGGAAAGCCTTCTAAGCAGAGGAGTGGATGTTTAGGATTGAAATATGTTGCCTGAGTCTGGGGAGGGAGGAGATTAACATTGGGAACATGGTAGTCATGCAGTTTATTTGACAATAAATCATAGTTCAATGGGAAGAAAATGTCCTTTCTCAAATTTCTTGACTCCTAAGGTGAAAAAAAAAAAAAAGGCTATTTCTCAGTCCTTAGTTTATCAGTAACAAATCTAGAGAGTTCCATTTGTTCACAGCTATTTTCCCCATTCCTAAAACAATGTATGGCACATAGTAGCATGCAGTAAATATTGTTGAATAATGATTTTGTGGAGAATTATGAGTAACGGTTAGTTTTGAACAACTGTCCTTGCAGTCTCTTGGAATGACATTGCACGCATTAGAAAATTATTTTTCATGGTCCTTCTCAAAGTTGATATGAATAATTTTCACTTAATTCGTTTTAAGTTTGTTTATGTTCAAGCTATTATATTTGGGAGATACTAAAAACACTTTATATTGGCACTAATTATAGTGGACGTACAGAGTTCCTAGTGTTGACAATGAAAATTTATAGTTTCTGCTATACCCAGGCCCTCCCAATGGTTTGTCACATGTTGGGGTAGTTAGAACAAGGGTGAATGGAGCCAGTTTTGTATTTGGTCATCACATATTTTTTGCTGAGCAGAAACCAATGACACTTTACATATTGAGTCAGTAAACAAGTAGCTAGTAAATTGTTTTCTTCTCCAAATCTTTTAACTCAAAATGTACTATAAAATATATCAAGATGATACTGTTTGCCAAGCTCTTGGCATGGTAATTTCAAACAAGGTCATTTTGACATATGGAGAACATTCCTGCCCAATCTCTTATGCCTGGAATGTAATTAATGGTAGGCAGAAGTGAAATTCCACAGTACATTTGGAGGATTGCTGTTCGCTTTCAAGGATCTGGAGTGGTTTCATTTACTCTCTGCATTGAGGGGAAATGGCAAATTACAGATGTTGCTTTTTACAGGAAATGTAAAAGCACAGTTATTCTGATAATTTCTTAATACAGCAAACGTTAAAGAACTTCCTCTTCTCATTGTTGTCTTAAAAAGGGGAAACGTGCTCATAATAAATGAACACGAAAAGAAGGATGGATTTTTTTTTTTCCAGTAAATAGGCACTCAGCGACTTCCCATAATAGAACCGTGTTGTTGCTGTACACTGGCTTTTATTTCCAATATATGTTTAAGGCTAATCACTTTTTTGTTGATGAAAGCTGTAATTCCACGAGGAATGAAGATGGGATAAATATCACTTGGGGTGACGTTAAATGCTGAGCTTAGAACATGTTTTGGGTTGTGGGCTTGGGTTGTAGTATGGTGCATATATTGACTTCTTGGGTTTGACCAGTTAGTTTACATATTTTAGATTTTCTAGTTTAAAAAATATATATTTTTCATATTATTAATAATTATGCTTTTTAAAATATACTTTTAATTTTGGAATAATTTTAGATTTACTTAGAAGTTGGAATGATACTACAGAGAGTTTCCATATACTTTTCACCCAGTTTCCCCTAATGTTAACATCTTATATAACCATGGTACATTTATCAAAACAAAGAAATTAATATTAACGTGTTACTATTAACTGTAGGCTTTATTCAGATCTTTACCAGTTTTTCTACTAATGTGCTTTTTCTGGTCCAGGATCCAATCTGAAATCCCACATTGCTTTTAGTTTGTGTTCATATATTTATATATTTTTAGTAATTAAGTTTTTTAAGAATGTGATAGACTATAAGGATTTCATTTACAAGAATAATGTTTTAAGCATATGGCTCTTTCCTGATATGTTTGACTAATGAGTTTCTAAAATGTCATTGCAGAGATTGCCTTACAACAGGTTTCCATGTTCTTCCGATCAGAACCAAAGTGGGAGGTGGTAGAACCATTGAAAGACATAGGTGAGAAACTGGCATGCCCATTCTGTTAAAAAGACAGATCACAGAACTGGATTCTTAGTCATGCTTTCTGATACGTATCCCAAGAACGCTCTTGAATGCAGGTGACTTCTTTTTCTTTTTGCCTCCCTACTGCTTGAAGATACAGTCCTTAACTTTTAATACTTAATGAATCTTGGTTAAAGCCCCATCAGAGGATTTGGATGATAGTAGCTTTCAGAACTACCATTCATTCCTCATTTATCTTTTTTTACTAAATCTAAACTGAAGTGCTGTTTTTCTACTATTTCCATGAATATAGTGATTTCTTTATTGGTTGTTTTAGTGTAGCTTTTCCTACGCCAAAATTATCAAATTGTTCTCTTATTGGTGCCTACATAGCTGTGGATAATATTGCCAAACTTAATTTTTATTTACTTAATGAAACATATCAATTATTGCAAAATTATGCAGCTATTAACACATTTCTGCTTCTATGGCAGGTTGGAGGATAAGGAAGAAGTATTTCTTGATGAAGATTAAAAATCAGCCAAAGGAACGGCTAGTGTTAAGCTGGGTAAGCTAGTAAGCTAGTTTGTTTATTGTTTTTTTTTTCCTTCAGTCTCATTTTAGGGGCTTTAGATGGGTTAATGGTTGCAGATTCGACAGAAGAATGGCAAAATTGTACTATAAAGGCTTTACTGATGATGTAAAGGCTTCCTTGGTCCCACATCAAAGGAGAGTCATTTTAAGTCACTTTGCTATGCATTTGGTTATAGAGATGTAATTATATTTGGTCAATGAGGAAACATTTGGAAAGAAATAGTAATCACTTAAAATAGATCCTGGAATCTCTTCAGGGTTGACAGTTTTGGAGTTTACCTCCAAAAAAAAAATACTTGGGCATTACTTTATCTCTTCAGTTTGGGAGTTTTAGTGATATATTTGGTTAATGGAATTAGATAAGATTATAGTTAAGTCCTAGTATTTTTATATACTACTCTCCAGAAAGGTCTTGAGGCAGCAAGATTTAGTGTGATTTTTCCTCTTTGGTTTACAGTCATTTATTTGGACAAATAAAATTAAAGAGACTTACAAGTAATTTTCCTTTTGATGACCAAAGCAGTACCCTGAATTATTTCCTCCCATGTTTTCAGGCTGACCTTGGCCCAGACAAATACTTGTCAGATAAAGATTTTCAGTGTCTAATCAAACTTCTTCCTTCCTGTTTGGTGAGTACAAGTCCTTCTGTTATTGTCAGTGCTGATCACAGATTCGCAATGTTTTTTGTGGGTAAACATGGACAGAAGAGCTGGAAATACTATGTAGGCCTAAGACAATAGAAAGGTACAGTGGATTTCGGTTCAGACTGAAATTGTGCAGAGCTACTCCCATAGATAACAGGCCATTTGAAATGGCATTCATGACAATGTGCACAATCCATGAAATGTGGTAATTTAAATATAGCCTTTGTGTTTTAAGCAAATATCAGAGTAGGAAAGCAGCCACTTCTCCGAGCCTCTTGTTCTTGGTGAGGGTGTTTATATCAGTGGAACTGAAATATCTGTTTCTGGCCTGAGAAAACAGAACTCATAAGGATGTGGATGAGCTGAATGAGGGAAAGGCAAAATAGCCATTTTGCTGTCTGAGTTACTACTCTCACAGGCTAACTAGTTGGCCTTTCGGAGTACATGGCATTATTTATGCTAATACACAATTGGAATCCAGGGCCCTCAGTGGAAAGAACCACACTGATGTATTTCAAAATATGTGCACATTATTTTCAGCAAAAACTAATCTGGCCAGGAAATTGAATTCGTGTTGATGTTCTTTATCTTGTTGTCTGCATGAGGATGCAGGTCCTCAGAATGAGGCACTCATGGACTGAGCGCAATTATGCTGACTTGTCCACTTAGGTTGCAAAGTTCATCTTTGAAGATACAGTGTCTTGTCAAACTAGCAAAACTAAGCTTTTAATGAGGTGTAATGCGTGGCCGAGAAAAATGCTACGAACTTCAAGTTTGATTGGGTATGCAACACAGGATGTCAGCACCCAGTTCCAAATTTCCTTTTTCTTTTCTTTTCTTTTCTTTTCTTTTCTTTCTTTCTTTCTTTCTTTTTTTTTCTTTAGAGACAAGGTCTAGCTCTGTTGCTTAGGCTGAGGTACCGTGGCGTGAGCATAGCTCACTGCAACTTGGAACACCTGGGCTCAGGCCATCCTCCCAGCTCAGCCTCCCAAGTAGCTGGGACTACAGGCATGCACCACCACACCCAGCTAATTTTTAAATTTTTTGTAGAGACAGGGTCTCATTATGTTGCCCAGGCTGGTCTCAAACTCCTGGCCTCGAGAGATCCTCCTTCCTTGGCCTCCCAAAGTGCTAGGATTATAGGTATGAGCCACCGTGCCCATCTAAATTTCTTTTAATGGATATGCTTTATAAAAAAAGATAGTATAGCCAGGTGCAGTGGCATGCACCTGTAATCCCAGCTACTTGGGAGTCTGAAGGAGGATCACTTGATCCCAGGAGTTCAAGACAAGCCTGGGCAACATAGTGAGACCCCATCTCTAGTAAAACAATAAAAAAAAATAAAAAGTGCGTACAAGTGGTGCATATTAATTGTAGAATAGTCAGAAGACACAGATAAGCAAAAATAAGAAAGTAAAACTCACGTGTAATCCCAATCAACCAGAAGTATGAACCAAAATGTTGAGTTACTACTTTTCTAGAATTTTTATGATTTTTTGAAAAATTGTTACGTACATAGTGTTTTAAAATCTGATTTTTTAAATTTTTTATTAATGGTGTACCATGAGTATCTTTAGTTGTCAATAAATATAGTAACGTATCATTATTACTGGCTGCATAGAATTCCCATTGGCTGTGCCGGGCTCTGTGTCTCACATTGAAAGGATCCCTTGAGGCTAGGAGTTCAAGACTAGCCTGAGAAACATAGCAAGACCCTATCTACAAAAAATAGAAAAATTAGCCAAGCATGGCGGCCTGTACCTGTAGTCCCAGCTACTTGGGAAGCTGAGGTAGGAGGATTGCTTGAGCCTGGGAGTTTGAGGTTACAGTGAGCTATGATGATGCCACTGCATTCTACCCCAGGTGACAGAGTGAGAAATTATCTCAAAAAAAAAAAGAATTGTCATTGGCTGTACTTTAGTTTATTCAACTAATCTTCTACTAGACATTTGGATCACCCTGCCTTTTGCTCTTATTTAAAAAAAGAAAATAAAAGCCATAGTGAACAATTTTAGCTAAACATTTGTACCCATCCTTGATTATTTTCTTAAGATAAATACTTATAATTACTTAATAAGTAATGTGTAGGGAGATATTTTGAGACTACATAAATATCCTGTTCTTTATCACAGTTTTAGCATTCAATGTGATATTCTAACTCTATCATTCCTTCCGTTTTTGTTTTTTTTTTTTGAGGCAGACTTTCACTCTGTCACCCTGGTTAGAGTGCAGTGGTGTCGTCATCATAGCTCACTGCAACCTCAAACTCCTGGGCTCAAGCAATCCTCCTGGCTCAGCCTCCCGAGTAGCTGGGACTACAGGTGCACACCATCACGCCCAGCTAATTTTTCTATTTTTTATAGAGACAGGGTCTCACTCTTGCTCAGGCTGGTCTTGAACTCCTGACCTCAAGCAACCCTCCCGCCTCAGCCTCCCAGAGTGCTTGGATTACAGGCGGAAGCCACCTCATCCGGCCGCCTTCTGTATTTGTTAGTTGGCATTCTACCATAAAGAAGAGCTTCTGTTCTCCCCACTTTATGTATTTATATAAGTATGGACTCAAGCACTTTTATTTTACTCATTGAGTTTCTTTTGGGGGTGATGAAAATGATCTGTAATTAGACTGTGTGATGGTTGCATAACTGTGTGAATATACTGAAAACCATTGAATTGTACACTATAAATGGGTAAATTATAATGATATGGAATTACATCTTAGTAAAGCTGTTAAAAAACAGCAACCATTTAGATGTGATGATCAGGAGAAACTTCATGATCAATTACTCTATTTTCCTGGGTATACCCTTCCACCCCTCAACCTACTCCATGTCAGCCCTCAAAAATCCCTGTGTGGCTCAGCTCCCATGGGGCTTTGAATTTTCATGATTGCTCCTTTGTGCTAATGAGCATCGAAATACCTGTCTGGAGCCAGTTTGTTTAATGTAACCAAAATTCTATTAATAGGTCATATGGGTACTTCCCTTTTAGTCATTAAATAATTTGTCTTTTCCCCACTCCACTTGGTTGACGTCAGTGTCCCCATCTGAGAAGGACACTGTGAATCATCATATTGCAAACTTCTGTAGAAAGGCAGGAAGATTCATGCCAGCTGCTTTGGAAAAGGGCTGAGATGCCAGAAGATGCTACTTTTGCTTGTTTTCTGGCCGTCATACTCCCTGGCTTGGCACCCAAACAGCAGTGTGGAATGTTAGGCAAAGCTGTGAGCAAAGACACGTTTATCCTGATCCCCACTTGCCTGTTCTGAGGTTTGGCTGTATTCTTTACTGATTTACAGAGGCAGAATATTAAAACCATTATTCCAAAAACTCAGACTTTTTCTCTCTTCCACCACACTTTTGCCCAACTATGAGAACGCACACACCAACGCAGATGCTTCACATGTAGAGCTTAGCAGGTCAGTTATCCACTTTGTTTTGTCACTACAATTAACACCCCTTCCCCCATCTGAAGAAGAAGCAACTAGTTGATCATCTAACAACTTGAAAATGCCCTGTGTTCAGGGAATAGCACCATATTTGTATGCAACTAAAAGGTTGCACTTGACTCTGCATAACTAGAACCTGGATCTAAAAAGACCTAGATCCTAATGCATCTCAATGTGAATTTCTTTTTTGTTTTGGCAGCACCCTTACATCTATCGGGTTACCTTTGCCACAGCTAATGAATCCTCAGCATTGCTAATTAGGACGTTTAACGAAAAAGGAACTTTGAAGGATCTGATCTATAAGGTACTTGTGGTGCAAGTTCATGGTCATAAAGAAGTTCTCAAGTCCCCTTAAAACCTGTTATTGATACTTAATGCCTTAGGTTCCAGATGCCCTGAGGATTTTATTTTAATTTTTATTTCATTTGGAATTTATTTTTCTTCTATTAATAGTAAAAATTATACCCAAAAGCATTCCTTTCCCCACACCAGGGAAGGTTGAACATTTAATGAATATATTCATTACATTGTAGGCTGCTCTCTTAGGTCAATTTTAAAGTTTGTATCTTGCACTTAAGAAAATAATACTGAAGAATTCTTACACTATTCAAGACTTTGGGATCTGCTAAGGCCAAGACTAGGCACATCTTCACTGGGCTAGAGAAGGGACGGAACCCAGGTCAGCCTCTTTTTATCAGCTACACAAACCGTTGTATTTTAAAAACCCATATCCTTCAGCCTGGCCATCTCTGGTGCCCCCAGCCTTTATAAAGTTGTGCCTCTTCTTTTCCAAAGGCAAAACCAAAAGACCCATTTTTAAAGAAGTACTGCAACCCTAAGAAGATTCAGGGCCTTGAACTCCAGCAAATAAAAACATACGGACGACAAATATTAGAGGTAAGAAGTATTTTTCTTTAAGTTACATTGGAATTTCATCCAAAATCATATTATGCTTTAGGAAAAGTTCTCAGGCAATATCCAAAATTGCTTAAGTTGTCTGATTACTTATAAACTGATGGCATTGTCATATTTTACCCCAACAAGCAAATATTTGAGATTAAGGTAACAGTAATTTAGATCTACAAAATTCCAAAAGATTTAGCGATTGGAATTTAGTGTCTGAATTTAAGAACTTCATTGTGTGTGGATATCAACTTTTGTATTATCTTTGATTGATCTTTATCTCTGTGCCAGGATATTTTATTTTGTTATGTCATGTACATACCCATATGGCTCCCTTACAGAAGTGTAACCAGCAGTGAAAGCCTTTCCCACATCACCCTCTAGATCAGTATTCTCCAGGCTTCTGGGATTGTGCAACCTTATCATAACCAATTTAAGCATAATGCCCCCATGTTATATGTATATTTAACTATAAATTATATGCATGTACAACTACTAATATTATTTTGTACATTTTAAGTTTAAAAAGAATAAGATTTTTTAAAAGCAACAACTAACGAGAGAAGTTGTAGTATTTCCTTCCAGTCCTCGGTGGGTTTCCCTGGGCTGGTGCTCTAGCTCACCAGGCGTTTGTAAGGCTGTATCCGGCCATCTCTATTACTGGGTGAGCCACTGTTTATTTAAATGGCAGCTGAAAAGTTTGCTTCTTTTTGTGGGAGCTTGTTGTGTGTTTCTATTAATAAATAGCTAAATACATTCTGAGGAGAGATTGGACTAGAGATATTTTTAATTCAACCCTTTTTTTCTGAAAAACTGGTGGAAGCACTGATATGATAGCTCTCAGAAAGTGCTTAACGCAGAGCCTTTTGGCATCAAAGTCATTGACTCTAAGCAGACACAGGCTGCATCTCTGTTCTTTGGAAAAGAGGGAGCTTGGTGGTGTCTCACAGCCTCACAACTGGAAAGCATTCAGCTTCGCTTCCTTTTCCAAAGAAATGGGTACAGGTGGCATTTTTCTTCAGGAATCTCCCCAGTGATCTGTTTGATTTTGTTTCAAAATATATTGACTTGAAAAACAAAGTTTAACTTGTCTTGTATCTGAGTGAGTTGGCAGGGATATATAACCTATACATATTTTTTAATAGGTATTAAAGTTTCTTCACGACAAGGGCTTCCCTTATGGGCATCTTCATGCCTCCAATGTGATGCTAGATGGGGACACTTGCCGGCTGCTAGACCTTGAGAATTCCTTATTGGGCCTTCCATCCTTCTACCGATCTTATTTCTCACAATTTAGGAAAATCAATGTAAGTTGCTAAAGTCATGAAGCAGCAGATTCACTGTTAGGTGTAAATTATCCCCATGGCAGGACCCATGCCCACGTAGGAAATACGCACTAAGCTGTGAAAGGTACAGTGGGGTAGGCTTTGCCTCTTTTCCCCGTTTGTCCCATGGAGCACTGCCGTAGTTCTGAGAGGCTACGTTTGAAGTGGTGGATGGGGTAAGGAGCAGAGTAGAAGCACTGACTGAAAGACCTTCAAAGGTAGGACGAAGACCTCAGGTCAGAGCAGTACCTCGTAAGCTTTTACAAAAGGCTTTGGAGTTTCGTTTTCACTACCAATTAGGAGTGGGGCTGCCCCTGGGCCTTATTTCTCAGAGGAAGCCTGGGGCAGGAGCATTGGGATCCACAAAGCCAAACTGAAGAATGAACGTGCTGCTGCTCTGTTTTTTCCACAGACGTTGGAAAGCGTGGATGTCCACTGCTTTGGCCACTTACTATATGAAATGACTTATGGACGACCACCAGACTCGGTGCCTGTAGACTCCTTCCCTCCTGCCCCGTCCATGGCTGTGGGTCAGTATGGGACGGGGAGGCTTCTTCTGGGCCCTGGTCTGTAGAGCTAGTCACCTCTTTCCGGAGTCCAGGAAAGACCCAGAGGAAGTTGCCATCCTCCACAGCCAGAAATTCTTATCCAACTTAAAAGTAGATCACATTTGAGTAATTTACTTAAATGCACTTCAGTAGAAATTGAGATGGTTTGTCCATTTGTCAGAATATCTGAAATCTTCCAGGAACTTTTTGTAAAGTACATTAGCATTTTGGAAGCAGGAGGACATAAAGAGAAGTATGGCCAGTGTGAGTCTGATGCAGAGGCAGAAGCCAGGGCCAAGCAGCTGGAAGCCAATCTTGAGGACTCGGGTAGGTGTCAGACCAAGGCTGGAGTGGGACTTGCAAGGAACAAGGAACCATAGGCTGGAAGCGCCATAGATAAGAGCCCACTGAGCCCAGACGTAGGGCAGGCAGCAGAAATGCAGACACCCAGACAAATTGGATCCAGGAGCTCTTTCAGCATTACCTGAGGGGCTGCGGAAAGCTGGGAGACAGGCACCTTTAGGAAGGAGGGACATAGGAACTGGTGCAGACTCATCCAGGGACCCTTTCATCCCCTCCACAGCCAGCTCAGAACTGATGGCCAGAGCAGGGGGGTGAGAAGATGGGTAGCCCTTGGGCCACTGTGCCTTGGAGGCGTTGAGTCAACCCTCCTCCACCAAGTGTTACTGTGTCAAATGAGGCAGTTCAAGAGAACAGGCTCTGGGACTCGTGTGTTGCATTTAAACAGCTGAAACTGAACAGTGACCTGTGGGTAGGAAAATCTGGCTGCTTGTTTATAGCACCCAGAGTGTCAGATGATGAGATACCAACAATTGGCATTTGTGTGCTGGTTTTGATTAAAAGCAGGCAAGCAGCAAAATGTCTTTCAAGTTCAGAATTTTACTCCTGTGTAGTGTTGACTTCTCTTTTAAGAGAACAAACACTTTTATGAATGGTATCTTGAATCCTTCCTCCAATTACCTTTGAAATACATCTAGCTTTCTGTCAGCATGTGGTTTCTAAGCCCTTTCTTTTGAGTCATCAGTAACACCAGTGTTGCCAGCACCCCCCTCCCCACGTATGCCATCTGTCTGTGTGTGAAGAGTTTTGACACTGTCCTGATCAGCCTGCAGACAGTTGCTGCAAAGCAGTGTCAAACTCTTCATCAGCAAGTGGATTTGCCAGTGTGTTCTGTGGAACTAAAATGTGTATCTGTTCATTTCAAGTGGCCGTGTTGGAGTCTACGCTGTCTTGTGAAGCCTGTAAAAATGGCATGCCTACCGTCTCCCGGCTCTTACAGATGCCGTAAGTCAATCATATGCACTGGTTGTAATCTTGATAACTGTGTTGAACACCGGACCACTGTGCCCAAGCACCTGGCACTGCAGTAAAGACTCAGTTGCGGTCCCTGCAGAGTCAGAGTGACCTGCTTGCTGACGGGCGCTTGCAGCGTGGTATCATGACACTTTCATTGTGACCTCTCTGCTCTTAGTCTGATTGCTTTCCTTTGACATCAGTGTTGTTTTCACATGTGTCTCTCCTCTGTCAGCGTTAGCAGTGTGCGTGTATATGTGTGGCAGCCCCCAGCTCAGGAAATACCTCCCTCAGTAGCGCCCTCCCCAGTGTCTCTCTTTTCTGACCCGGAATCAGCAAACCAGTTGGCCTCCATCTGTGGATAGTTCACGGGTCACGGGGCCTTGGAGGGTCTGCCCTCCAGGAGAAGGGCAATGTGTTTCTGGGCCCTCATGCTTTTGTTAATTACTCGCTGAGTACTATTTATAAAACATCCAGCATGTACCAGGCACTGTGCTAGGGACTTAGAGCTCAGAAGACATTTTCTCTTAAACAGGGTTATGAATAGTTCATCGAGGCAGTTGAAATAGTACTTTGGGGCCTTTCCTTTAGGTACATTCTCTATTCCTGCATGGAGAGGCAGCAGAATGGTTAAGAAGGATGCAGCTGGGGTCAGACAGACCTGGGGGTGGATCCCAGCTTCACACTTCTACCTGGGTGACCTCAGGCAAGGTTCCTAACCTCTGCAAGTGGCATTTCCTGAACTGTAAAATGGGGTTGATGATAATGGTCCCCACCTCAGAAGATGGTGGGAGGATCCATTGAGGTGATTCCTAGGACAGCGCCAGGCACTTAAGCAGCACTTATAAAGTGTTAGTTATGCTTAATATTGATTCAGCTTATATTTTTCGAGTATCATGTACCAGCCAATATACCCCATGCTTTGTCTATGCCAGCTTGTTGTATAACAGATATACTCTGGAAACAATAATATGGGGAAACAAGGCAGGGGACAGCTTGACGTGCATGCAACCAGAGTTCAGAGGAGGTAGCGATACCTTCAGATTCCTTGTTCTTTCTTTGCACAAGTGTTTAGAGAGGCTCTACGAGAGACCAGGTGCCATTCTAGGCCCTGGGGAGGCTGTGATGAACAGAGGAAACCAAGCCCCTGCCTTGTGGCTATGACATTCTAATGTTCAGCAGACATTGGAGCATCCGTCTCCAGTCCATCAACCATTAATCACAATGTGAATATGGAAAAATAGATCCAGTTTGGAAAACAAAACAAATTTCTCATAAACAAAATGCACTTCTATAATAGTTAGGGAATGGCCTGTATGCAGGTTGATTTACTTGAGTTTGCATTTGCACTCCCCACTCCAAAGCTCTCACATTTTTCTCCCAGTCTTCCAGTTCTAAAGTGAATCCAAGCCCGGGCACAGTGGCTCACACCTGTGGTCCTAGCATCTGGGGAGGCCAAGGCTGAAGGATCACTTGGATCCCAGGAGTTTGAGGTTGCAGTGAACTATGATGATGCCACTGCACTCTAGCCCGGACAACAGAGCAAGACCTTGTGTAAACAAAAAGGATCCAGATATTTTTTATTTACCTAAGTCTTTATATCCTGTGGGCTTAAGCCTTGACAGGAGCACTTGGAGAGGTGTGAACTATGTTTTGTTAAAATGTTCTGTTGTCTGGAAGTAAATGGATATGTGGCCGAGGGACAGACAGGACTCTGGGGAGCACTGTGGGAAAAAGTTGACCCTGTAATTTCTACTTGTGTCTTTCAAAAGACACAATTCAAAATATTCAGCCAGGTTCAATGACATGTACCTGTAGTCCCAGCTACTCCAGAGGCCAAAGCAGGAGGCCTCATCCCCCTTTTTTTTTGAGACAGGGTCTCACTATGTTGGCCAGGCTGGTCTCAAACTTCTGGGCTCAAGCTATCCTCCCGCTTCAGCCTCCCAAGTGGCTAGGATTACAGGTACACACCACCATGCCCAGCTCATGCTATTATTTTTAATAACATAGTTTTGAAGAGAGAATTGATATACTTCAAAAACTGCTATTTTTTAAAATGGAGCATGAGAAACACTTAGAAGAAAATTATTTTCCTGTGAGATTCCAATCAGGACTATTCCCTTCTATTTACTTGAACATTTTTGAGCTCTAGAATAAATTTTATCCTCTTTTGAGGCAAGAAAAAAAAGAAGAAAACCAGTTATTCTGTTTAGAAATGTCTACTGCATATTTTATTTGCAATACTTTTACAAATTAGTATTTGCAAAAATTGTCTTTTTAAAGTATTATATTGCCTGACAGTGGGGAAATCACCTTCGGCACACAGCTGGCCCAGACCCCTGGTAACACGGTGGGGAGGGGGTCGCATTGGGAGACGTACATATTCCTCTGTGTGTGGTGATAAACGTGGAATGGCGGCTTGGGCTCAGAGGCTGGGGATGTGGGGCAGGGGAGGGAGATCCCATGCGACCTCATGCTAAAGGTGTCTCAGTCTGCTTTAATCCTATTTTGAGAGTGCATCTGGCTCAAGAAAGATTTTTTTGTTTGTTTCTTTTCTTTACAGATTATTCAGTGATGTTTTACTAACCACTTCTGAAAAACCACAGTTTAAGGTAAAGCAAATTATATCATGTTTTATTTTGTGGCATAACTAAGTTGACTTTGAAAGTTAGCTTTTTAAATTTTTTTAGCCTAAAAAAGAAGGCACATAATAGGGAAAATTTGGAAGTGATATAAATGTCCTAAATTTAATAATTTATAGTATCTATTTGATAAAATATTTTTATCCAATAAAAGTGAAATTTATAAAGACATTGTAATATGGAAAATGATTATGATCTGGGCTAAAGTAAAAAAAAAAAGACAGCATTTAAAACAATGTATCTGTATTTATTTATTTATTGATTTATTTTATTGATTTATTTTTTTGAGACAGAGTCTTGCTCTGTTGCCCAGGCTAGAGTGCCGTGGCATCAGCCTACCCCACAGCAACCTCAAACTCCTGAGCTAAAGCAATCCTCCTGCCTCAGCCTCCCAAGTAGCTGGGACTACAGGCGCACGCCACCACGCTTCGCTAATTTTTTCTATTTTTAGTAGAGAGGGGTCTCACTCTTGCTCAGGCTGGTCTTGAACTCCTGAGCTCAAGCAGTCCTCCCGCCTCGGCTTCCCAGAGTGCTAGGATTACGGGTGTGAGCCACCGCGCCTGGCCTGTATTTGTATTTAGAAACAAGATTAGAAGGAAGTCTCCTTGGAAGCAGTGGTGTTGTATGTCACAGAAAGAGAATGGTCTTTGGAACCCAAAAAACCAGATTAATGCCTTACTCTGTTCTTAAAGTTCTAGCCATTATCTACAGCATGATTTGTCAACCACAGCATTTGACGGTTTGGGCCAAATAATTCTTTGTGCTGGGGTCTGGCCTGTGCAGTATAGGATGTGAAGCAGCATCCCTGGCCTCTGCCCGCTAGATGCCACTGATACTCCCTGCCTTCCTTTCCCCCACTGTGACAAAAATGTCTCCAGACATTGCTAAATGTCCCCTGGGGATGGTATACAAAATTGCTCCCAGTTGAGAGCCACTGACCAATGGCCAATTACTTAATCTTTGAGTTTGTGTGTACTTGTGTGTACAGTTGGTGAGCCATGCCTGTCTGTTGTCATTAGACAGCTGCAATCATCTATGTAAACTTGTTCAGGGCCTGGCTCTCATCTGTGCTCACTGGTAGTGTGATTTGGGTGGGAGGTTGAGGGGTAATTCTCTCTCTTTAATACTATTATGATAAAAATAAATTTAGAAAGCAACAACAACAGCAACAAAAAAGAAAGCCAAGGTGGGGTCAGAAGATTAAACAGGTGAGAGAGATGCTTTCCTCTGTCCTATTTTGCCAGTCAGAGGAGTTCTGACAATATTAGCTGCTTTGATCTGAAGTAGTAAAGAAAAATCATTTATGTTCTTCTCTTCCTCGCTTAAACTTCTTGGGAAATGTAGTCAGTCTCCATGCTGAACTGCCTCCATGGAGAACGAGGTGGGTGACCTTTCACAAGGTGTGTGCCCTTTTATACCTTTGGGCTTTTGAACCATGTGACTATATTGCCTCCTCAAAACATTTTTAAATTTAGAGTTTTTAAAGAATAGTAAAGAAAAAAGTTCAATGTGTTCTGGGTATCTTATTTTCCATGCCCGGATTCCTCATGGTTTGAAAAGCTGATAAATTAAGAAGTGATAGACTCTGAAATAAACTGAGTCTGGGCTGTTGTTAGAAGAGTTTCCCAACAGGAAAAAGCTTACTCTTGTGAAATTCAGAACGTAAATCTTTCAGAAAGTCCCTCTGAAATTATAAAATATTATTGCTAGAATTTTTGTGTGTGTTCTAATAGACTTTATATATTTTTTATTTTTAATTATGGTAAAAATCACATAAAATTTACCCTCATAACTATTTTTAAGTGTACAGTTCAGTGATTTTAACACCTTCACATTGCTGTGTAACAGATTTCCAGAACTTACAAACTGAAACTCTGTACCCGTGAAACAACTCCCCATTTCCCCCTCTCCCTGGCTCCTGGTAACCATCATTCCACTTCCTGTTTCCATGATTTTGACTACTCTAGATGTCTTATATAAGTGGAATTATACAGTATTTGTCCTCCTGTGACTCATTTATTGCATTCAGCATAATGTTCTCAAGGTTCATCCATACTGTAGCATGTGACAGGATTTCCTTCTTTTGTAAGGCTGAATAATATTCCATTGTATGTATATACCACATTTTCTTTATTCACACATCTGTTGATGGACATTTGGGCTGCTCCACTTCTTGGCTGTTGTGAATAATGCCACAATGAAGACGAGTGTGTAAATATCTCTTTGCGATCCTGCTTTCAATTCTTTTGAATATATGCCCAGAAGTGGAATTGCTGGATGGAATTGTATGGTAATTCTATTTTTAGTTTTTTGAGGAACCTCCATACTATTTTCCATATCAGCTGTACCATTTTACATTTCCAACAGCAGTGCACAAATTGGATAAGGGTTCCAATTTCTCCACATCCTTGCCAACACTTGTTACTTTATTTTGATAGTGGCCATCCTAATGGGTGTGAGGCGATGTCTCATTGTGGTTTTGATTTGCATTCCCCTAATGATTAGAGACATTGAACATCTTTTCATATGCTTGTTGGCCATTTGTATATTTTCTTTGGAGAAGTGTCTGTTCAAGTCCTTTGCCCATAATTTAATTGAGTAACTTATTTTTTGTTGTTGTTGAGTATAGGAGTTCTTTTCTATATCTGGATATTAACCCCTTATCAGGGATTATTTGATTTGCAAATATTTTGTCCCATTTCTTGGGTTGCCTTTTCATTCTGTTGATAGTGTCCTTTGTTGTACAGAAGCTTTAAATATTCATGAAGTTTAATTTGGTTTTCTTTTATTGCCTGTGCTTTTGGTGTCAAATCTAAGAAATCATTGCCAAATCCAATGTCATGAAGCTTTTCCCCTGTGTTTTCTTTTAGGAGTTTTATAGTTTTAGGTCTTAGATTTGGATCTTGAATTCATTTTGAGTTAATTTTTGTATATGGTATAAGGTAAGGGTCTAGCTTCATTCTTTTGCATGTGGATATCCAATTTTCCCAGCACTGTTTATTAAATATACTGTCTTTTCCCCATTATGTGTTCTTGGCATGCTTGTCAAGGATCATTTGATCATATACACAAGGGTTTTTTTCTAGGCTCTTGTTCTGTTCCACTGGCCTCTGTATTTGTCTTCATGTCAGTACCATGCTGTTTTGATTGCTGTAGCTATGCAATAGGTTTTGAAAACAGGAGATATGAGGCCTCCAACTTTGTTTTTCTGTTTCAGGATTGTTTTGACAATTCAGAATCCTTGAGAATTATGTGAATTACTTGAAATATATATCATGTTTATTTATGTTTTACTTTTATATGTTCATTGCTAAAAATTGCTAGAGAACTGAGCATGTTAGGGATACCAAAAGTGGTGGGGATAGGATTCGAGTGGACAGTTTTAACTGATTTTATTCCAGATGACTTCTTGGTAACCAACTACTCCTTCATTGACTCCAGGACTTGGGAGAATCTCCAGCTACTTTATTCAATGGATTATGTACTTTCTCTTCTTTCAGATCCCTACAAAGTTAAAAGAGGCATTGAGAATTGCCAAAGAATGTATAGAAAAGAGACTAATTGAAGAACAGAAGCAGGTAAGTTGATAATAGTTCGTCATTACCCTTTAACAGTATGGTGTCCTATCCTCTGCCATGGTGTTTACAGTGGTCGACTTTTAACAGATTGTTCGCACCACAGACATTTTGTGCATACCTACTATCAGCCAGCCCCAGGCTAGACGCTGCACCGCAGAGCTGAATACTGCGCAGTCCTGCCCTCAAGGGGCTGAGTCAGTGGGGGAAACAAACATTCTCACCAAGGATGGTCCTGCTTTAATCAGGGAATCGGGGTGGTGGGGGTTGGGGCATTCATGGTCCTTGCTCTCTCTAATGATGCTGGGACCACATTCTTCTTCTGTACTATAAAACAGAGAAAGGCAAGGAGGAAATCCGGAGAATGAGAAGGGTCTTCATCCTCTGGCATACTCTTTATCCAGACATCTAGACCCATGCCATGGGGTAGACAGGCTGAGCATAGAAAGATTTTTTTTTTTTAATCCAAAATGAAATTTGATTTGGCAAAACATGTTGGAGAAGATTTTCATTGGGAAACTGCCTTACATGGGATATGCTTGCATTTGTGATAAACTGTGATCTCTTAAAGATTCACCAGCATCGAAGACTGACAAGAGCTCAGTCACACCATGGATCTGAGGAAGAAAGAAAAAAAAGAAAGATTTTAGCTCGAAAGGTAAGCCTGGTGTCTCGATGAATTCTTGACTACATGTGAACAAAGTTCTAGGTTAATGGTGCACATTTAATCACAGATTTTGTACTGTATCTCCTTGAGAGCTAAAACTATTTCCAGATGACTGGTTTTCAGCTTTTAAAAAAGAGTCATGTAGTAATGAGCAGAGAAATGGACCATGTAGTTTCCTGGCTTGCTGGGCTGATTATGGCATCATGTAATTGGAGGAAATAATTGGCCTGAGATAGTAAAGTCAGCATTCTTGGTTTTATTTCACCCTTTAGTTTTGGTTTGTGGCTTCTTCACTTGTATTAAGTTATGAGGCCAAATATGACCTTGTCTGTAGCTAGTTTAACTGTGTGCCTGGAAATACTTTTATTCTCAGTCCAAGCTTCAGTGTATTTATTCTTTGCTTCCCCCTCTCTTTTATTCTTGAAGAAATCAAAACGATCTGCTATTGAAAATAGTGAAGAGCATTCAGCAAAGTACAGCAACTCCAATAATTCAGGTAACTGGTTATAGATTGTAGTGGGACCCAGGACCCAGAGGTCAGAATCAGGAGTCTCTGGTGGGTTAAGAGGTTCTGGTAGCCAAAGGCTGGGCAGTATAGTAATGAATGCAGAGAACAAAAACACTCTGTCTCTAACGAAAGATTGTAACAGCTATTCATGGGCTCACAGGACTCAAGTGCTAGAAGGGACCTCAGCGGTTATTAGGTAGCTCAGCCTCTTCACTGAGGGCAGGAGTTGATCAACCTAATGCACAGGAGCATTAGGCATGGAAGAAAAACAGACCTGACTTAATGCAAGGCCTCCTGGTTTTTAGAAGAGCCCATAAGAACAGAAATGATCTTAAATCCTGCCCTCTGCTCTGGACCCCACATGGTGGGAGGATGTGCCCTCCCATGGGGATTAAGGAAAGGACTCAGTGGTGTCTGGGGATGGCAAGAAACGTCATTCCTGAAAGGCCAAAATGGCACAAAGAGCACTGTCTTGAGTTGGCATCCTCACTGCCACTCCCAGCTGCCCCTCGCCCAGCCCCGCTGGCTTTGGCTTTAATGTCTCCATCTTTGGAAAGCAGAGCCAGATTGAATAATCCCTGGAGGCCATCCAGTTCTTCTAGTTTATGAATCTGTGAAGCAAAGTTCCACATAGAGAAGGGAAGGTTTTACCCTAACCCTGGCAGCTTTGGCTCAGCCCTGGAGGGCCAAGGGAAAGGGAGATTTTGGGGGGTTGAGGGATAGCTGATTATACTTTTAGGCAGAGGAAGGACCTAGCAGAGAAGGAGAATTTGAAGATGCAAAAAGGGAAATGATGGGGGAGCTAGAAAACCAAGGGGTTAGCATCAAGAGCCCAGCTGTCAGTTTCAGCTTTAGAGGAAACCTGTCCATCTTCTTTTGGAGGCAGGAGGAGTGAGGAGCAGCAGGTGAAGAGGCAGAGAAATTTAGAAGTAGAAGAAAGGGAGGAAACTGAGAGTGTTCAGCAAGGAGGATGTCTGCCTAGGGCGAGAGGAGAAACTGAGAAGTGCACCAGAGGATTAGGCTGCAGTCCTGAGGGCTGCGTGAGCTGAGGAGAATGCAGGTGGTGCAGCAGAGCTGGAAATTAGAAGAGTTGGAAGGAGAGAGACTCCAGAGGGAGAGTAAGAAACACATCGACACTACTGCAGAGTCCAAGCTGGAGAAGGGCTCAGAGAGAGCTACAAAGGAGAAGCAGGGGAGGTCCCAGGCCCTGGAGGTCCCAATGAAGACCAAGGCAGGCTCCTTGGGGATGAATGCTGTTGTGGCCGGCAGGTCATTTCAGAGACAAAAGTCTGTTTTTTCCTTGGTTGTTGGGATGGACATGGACCAGTCCTTGTCATCATTAGGCTGAGACTCAGGTCTCCAACCAGCAGTCATTCTGTCCAGTATCCCATTCTTTATCGAGAAAGCCTGACTCTGTGCTCTCCACCCTCCTGAGACCCTGCCTGCCTGCAAAGCCCTGTGCCACATGCAGCCAGGTGGGACTCCAAGACACTTTCGTGCCCTCAAGGAGTTTAGGAAAGTGAAGTAGCAGTTGTTGATGGAAATGTACAGATCATTCCCAGACCCTACTGGAATCACAAGTTCAAGCTTCTCCCTATTAAAATCTGTTAACACTATAAACAATATGAAAACAGCATGCATTGAGTTTTACCTCCTTTTTCAGTAAAACACATCTCATATTTTATAGGGAGCTGAGGGAAGGTTGCAAATAATGGAAAAGTATTAAACTGGAGGGAGGTGTGGTTTAATTAGGACATTTCTCATCATGCCCAGTGACTGTGAGGCACCAACATGTCCTGTGGCTAGTGAGTGAGGTGATGGCTGGAGGCTTAACCAGAACAGCTGGTGGTGGCTTCTCGGGCATGTGACGACAACCCTCCCTTTAGGTGCATGTGCTTGTCGGCCCAGGAAGCACCAAATTAGGGAGCTTTGGTTAACAGGTAACCATAGGATCTCCCTGTGTGGGGGGGCCTTTAGATCACCATAGAAGAGGATTATGTAGGAACCTCCTATTTACATTGGGCCAGGGGGATATTTTCTAGGGATTTCTAAGCAGGGAGATGCTGAGAACTTGGGACTAGCAGAAATATAATAAGATTACTAGGTCCAGAAAAAGCCTGCAACATATGGGATTTTGCACATTGTCCTAATGTAAATAAGGATATTTACTGAATTTCAGGTAAAAAAAAAAAAAGGCCTGGGAAATCCACAAACTAAATAGCCTGTTCCTATCTAATTGAGTGTATCTGCTGATGAAATGGAACTTCTACAGAAAGCATCACTGGGTGAATGCTGCAGTGAGCGCTCGCTTCCCTTGGAGGGCCCCACGAGGCTGCTCTTCACCTCTCTGTCCCTTGTGATACTTGGGGCCACTGTCACTTGTCATCACTTAGGGGTGCGGGTTAGGTCAGGAAGAGACATTGCAGCCAACTGCATAAGCCCGTGATTGTGCAAAGCTGGTTTCAAACCAGGTGGGCTGTGGGGAGCAGTGGGAGGCCAGGAGCCTTCGTGGGCTGATGAAGGTGGCAGACCTGCACTGGGGTAAAAGCCTGTCGTCACTGGGTCCAGTCTCTGAATTTTCTGTCCCTCATCGCCTTGTTCCACAAGGTCCACACGCTAAGCCAAGTATAGAGTCTTAGACAACGGCTTGGGCCAAATTCCAAAATGTCTATCTTTGGTCCCCATGAGGGTGTTTCTCTGTGTTTTATCTTAGCAGGATCTGGGGCCAGCTCACCTCTCACATCCCCATCATCGCCGACTCCACCCTCTACATCAGGTTAGTAATGGTGTAAAGTGACACGCCTCCCTCCTCTCCACCAACAGGAGGAGCCGGGGCTGTTTCTCTTCCTGCCCTGGCCCAAGCATTTCCAGGGTAAGATAGCAGCAGCCTTCTCAAGAGAGACCAGTGGGAATGCAAATTAGTAGTGTCATTTGGGAGAACTGAGGTTCTAGATTTCCACGCTTGGATTTCACAAGGAATGAACTGGTTTTAGGGCCACTAACCACCCACTGGCTCAAGCTTGCTCTCTTTGCTGAAACACCTCGCACAGGGCTCCTCAGATCAGAGCTTGGTACGTGCTCAGCTGAACAAAACAAATGCGTTGCTGCCCAGGGGCCCTGTCCTGCCAGAGCTCTCTCCTCAGGGGGCCTGACATTCATCGTGTCAGTTTTGTCACAGAGCAAAACTGGTGAGATGCCTGGGTGCAGGAGTGAAATAACCACTGAGTTTCTGATTTCCGATAGCTGTTTGCACTCTATTCTGCTTTGTAATGCATTTCATTATCTGAGTATATTTCAGTCATTAGCCTTTGTGAATTAAATCAGATACTGTAAGTTTTGTTTGAAAAATGTAAAAAGAATTTATCTTGGGGACTATTTATAAAAATAATCTCTAATTTTGTGGAGTAACCTCATAATACTGTCTTTCCTTCTTTCCTTTTTGAACTAAGATCTCTCTCCTAACCATATTGCAAGCCTCATAAAAACACATTGGGGCACCGGTATCTCCTTTTGCTTCTTGAATGAACCAGATGTTCTAGATGTCCAAGGAGCTGGTTCTGCCAGTCAAACTCGCCGGCTGTGCTTGGAAGGCTTCCTGCAGTTGTTAGAAGGGAGAGTCATTGGCAGGGGGTTGACTTATGAGTTGGTACCATATTTATTAATACTTAAGGCAGCACCCTGGAGCCACCAAGAGCCTTACTCAACTACTCTAAAATACTTCCTACTGACCCTCCTAAAAAAAAGACACAACCAACTGCAAGGGGACTAGTTTAAATTACTTACTTCTGGCTAGTGGGTGTCTCTTCTTACTGGTTGAAAGTGGTTTACTGGTGGCTTATTGCAGAATGTTCTGAGGCCAGGGCCTGTTCTGAGTAGCAAAGTACTTGGCTCATGGGGATGATATTCTTGTCCCTGTCTGACTTTGTCAGCAGATTTTACAAAAAGGCCCCCAAATATTGATCAAGACAGAAAATAGACTTCTCTGTCTTTCATAGAGGTGACCTGTTTAGGCTGATTAGAAATTTCTGGTGATCCATTGCCCCAGACTATGTTGAGCCTTTTCTAGAAGATAGAATATTAATTTAACTCCAGTTGGACATATTAAGAAAATTGGAGAAAATTAATGAGAATATATAAACGTCCTTTAACGAGCGAGGTGTCTATTTAGTGTACGGAGCACCTTGCTGTGTGCGTTAGGTGTGGCTCTGGGCAGTGAACTGACAGTTCCCATCTTTAAATACCTTGGGGAATTTACAGTCTATTTGCCTTTTAGGGGGAATTCTCTAATTTACCTATGCTTGAAATGGGAGCTTTCTCACACAGTAGCAAGTTCGCATGAGACGAGGTAACTTTTAGGATGAGAGAATAAAAAGAAGAATCTTTTGTAATTAGCATCAATGTTGGACAAACTTTGAGGTGAGTGGGAGAGGTAGGGGGCATCACTGTGAATTTGGTAGTGCCCACCCTGAAAAGGAGTCTTGAGGATTTAGAGGGAAAAAACGTGAGGCCCCCAGGACAATCAATGCCTGGCAGAGATGACAGGTTCCCAGCAAATCCTGGCTCCTTCTTTCCTTGATCTCCCTTAATGTTGCTGTTGACAAAATTGACTTCGCCTGCACTCTGACCTCTGCTGGGCATTTCTTATAATGCAACTTACAAAAATCATTACTAATACTTAGCACTTGCCTGGCAACCTAGCATTTCAGGCCCTAAACAGGGCACCCACAGGGAATTTATTCATTCAAGATGTAGTCAGGGTACATTTATCTGGCTTCTTGCTGGTCTTATCTGTCTCACTTCCTCTCTGCACGATGCCCATCTTGCTGTGGAAATCATATTTACTCCAATTTACATCTTTACTTCAAGGCCAAGTTTATAATTTTTTTAAAAAAGCATGCTTATCTGGGAACAAAGTCAAAGAGTGTTTTCCAACATTATAATGAAATGCAGTTTTCAGAAATAAAGGAAAAATCTTTACTTTCAAGGGCTAGTATTAAAAAAGAAACCCTGCAAAAGGCAGCATTTCAACACAACTTGACCTGGGAACCCTTAAGAACTGCACCGTGGATTGGAAAACCTAAGCTTGAGGGCCACGAGTTGCTGGTTCTGGAACCTTGGGCAAGGCATTTGATCTCCCTGTGTTTCAGGTTTACCATTTATAAATGAGGATAATAGCGATGGCTGCCTTGGCAGGTTATTATGAGGGTTCAGTGAGTTCCGTGTGTAGGGGGCTTAGGACAGTGCCTGGCACTTAGGAAGCCCTCGGTATGCCATTAGTTACCAAGTCATTTCCACGCGTAGGTTTTGGTTACCTGTAAAGGGCAGAAAGGTGGAAGTTAGAGGAGACTCTCACAGTTCTAGTATGCTCTAAATCCGCTGTGGACTCTGCCCTTTGGCAGTTTGCTCAGCTGTAGATCAACAGCAATAGATTAGCTTAAGCAAGCTGAGTTCGGCAGCAGTGCCTTTCTTCCTGAAAGCATCAATTTTAAGCACATTTATGGTAGCTAAAGGTGCTCTTAATCTCAGTTTCTTTTAGGATGGAGCAGAAGTAATGGAAGTTTCTAAGGGAAGGAGTCTTGCCCTTATGAGCCCTTTCCAGCAGCTGTGGAAGGGCTGGTGCCTCTCCCTTTTCTTATAGCTACTCCCTTTCTTGGGGCCTCTTCTTAAGGTTTTTACCAAATTGAAATAGCATTTCCCTAAGTTTGCTGGCAATTCCATTGGGTGGGGTGGGATTCTCTAATATTCTTTTGCTAAGGCCTCTGTTTTTTTCAGGGAGAACATTCCTAGCACTTTCTTTCCTGCTAAAGGTTGTTTCCTGCCTTAGGAAGGTCACTCTTTCAAGAAATTTAAAATTCTTTATCCTGACTTATTTCATGGTAAATGTCACCAACTAGTGTTTATACTCTGTATTCATAGGGCTGAGTGGTTTAAAAGGTCTCCATTTACACACACACACACATTTCCTCCCATCCTCCTTTGGGAGCAGACACACCTGTTGCCTCGCTATCTTTTTTCTTAAACGGGTTTGCAAAAGAGTTTTTAGGAAAGCTAAGTAAGCAGGACACCCTAAATTGTTGTAGTTATTTAAAATTATCATAGCCAACATATTTTGATCACTTATTTTGTGCCAGGCATTGCTTAAGTGATTCATAGTCTTTGTTTTCATTCGATCTTCATGAATACTCTCCTATACTATCCACCGCACATGGACTCTAGCATGGCTTCATTTTACAGATAAAGAAACTGAGGCTCAGTAGGGTTAAGAGACTTTGGCCAAGGTCATACAAGTTAGGAGGGTTGCTAGAGCCAGAATTCTAATTTGTCTGTCTTTGTTCATTTATCCACTGATTTATTGAGTGCCTGCTTTTTGTGGGGTGCACTGCTGTTAAACACTGTGCTTGGCTAGTGCAAAAAGAACCCTAAATGTAGAATAAGTAAACCTGGGCTTGAGTCCTAGCTTCCTCACTCTACTGCTTTCTAACTGTGACTTTGAACAACTAATTTCCATTCTTTGAAGCTGCTTTTAAAAGAAGTCCTGCTCTTTATTAGGTAGATAGCGTATATGGCAAGGCTGTATAAGCAGTAAAGTACTGCCAAGCATAAGCTGTGATCACCTTGCAATCAGAGAATTCTAGCCCTTCTTGCATGAAGTCTGTATTTCGAGCAATAATTTTGAGGAGAGCGATCTGGCAGTTTGCAGAAAACCCAGTCTGTAATAATGAGTGGAGAGAAAGGGAAGTTTTGAATCTGGAGTGCTGGAGAAGGGAAAACAGAGCCTTATAGGCACAGAGAATGACTGAGAGCTTAAAAAACAGAAAAGAAGGTTAAGAATTAATAAGGAAATTAGAAGAAGGAGATTTCTAGTAAAAAAAAAAAAAAGAATAAGAAAACAAACAGACTTAATAAGGCACAAAAGAAGAGATTATTTATTTATAGTGTTGGAGCTTCCAGAATTTGCTTAGCGAAATTAAAGTTTGAAATCCATTCTAGGCTCAAAATCGATGTCTAATCATAAGAATTGCCTGTCTTTCTTATAAGCTACACATACACAGAGCAGTGGCCATCTTTGGTGTGAACATCTCTGCCCTGCAGTGTGTCTCTGAGGAGTGTCTGCTCTCTTGCCTGCTGCCGCAGCCTGCTGTGCCCACTCACAGCCCTCCTCCCCCACTCCTAAGCCCAAGCCCCAAGTGTGTGAGCTCTTTCCAGAGTCTTCCGCCACATCCTTGTTTCTTCCAGAGCTGTCCCAGATGTTCATGGTCGGCCTGCCCAGCCCCACCCCATGTGTGGCCTCTTTCCCAGCCTCTCCGGAAGGGAGAGCAGCGGGGCAGAGTTGGGTCATTAGGAACTCTCGGATTCACTGTCTGGGAAAGCATGATTCTTCACATTTAACCTAGAATCTAGTCAGTTAAAAAGAAATAGGAAAGCATTTGCCTTGCTTTCTTTTTTAAAATGGTTCGGTAGCCTTAAGTAAGTTTCACTGCCCAGTTCAGCCTCTAGACCACAGCAGCCTCTGAGGAGGGGCCCACAGGCTCCTGCTTGGGAGGCCACGTGCCCAGGAGCTCTGCCCCAGACCTGCTCTTGCTCTCCCCAATGCTAAAAAGACAAGTCTTGTTGTACTCTAGAAGCTTGCTTGGGAAAAAGTGGTGAGTTTTTATTTTTGTCCCCTCTTGATGAACTGTCCTTGTTTAATAATAGAACTAGGTACACTCCTTGCCTCCATTCTGCTCTTCAGAGGGGGTCAAACCTTCCTGGCTCTTCTGAAGTGAGCGTAGTGCTTGTAAATAAATAAAAATAGCACCTAACTGGCTCAGAAGAAAAAGAACGTGAAGAGGAAAGTGATTCATTGGTTACTCTATTGGTATATTTGCCATGTCCTAAAAGGGTCACAATCGTGTTTACAAACCAGTACATTTTGTGGTTAATTTAAGTATATCCCAGTTTTGCAGTGAGAATAATCAGCATGTGATTCAGACTAATATTTTATTGTCTGTTACTATTTGATTAAATGACACTAAAATCTGAATAATGACTTGTGTCCCCTCTCTCTCTTTCTCTCTCCTTGCTGTTTTCAGTAGAGCATGCACCATTTTGAACGTGAATTTTCGGTAAAGTAAACTATGCTGATTTCTCTAAGTTTAAAGATGCTCTGTTTCTGTATGTGAAATAGGACCCAATGTGTCTCAATCACTGAAGTGATAAACAAGTGGGAAAGCAGATTTGAGACTATTTCCTTTTCTGAACGTTGAAATGAAATACAGCATCTTTAAAAAGCACTCAAGTAACTTCATCTATATTCATTTCATTTTCATCATGACCTTCAAAGTCTTCATTTTCACTCTGATTTTAGTTTTAAAATACAGCTCTAAAACTTGCAAATCAACCGCATGGCATTTTGGTGTATTTTAATTTTGGAAACATAACTCTCGAGGTCCCATTGCTGCAAAAATGTTTGTTCCTAGTTGCTGTGATGAAGAATTAGGCAGTCGAGGTCTCGGTTACAGAGAGACAACTTACCGGCTTTTCTGCTAATCATGGGGAAAACAGTTCTTTTTTAAGCATCCTTAATAATTCTCAAGTTGGGACACGAGTGCAGCCTCCTCATCTGCCTGAGGCAAAGGCAAAGGTGGTTCCAAGAGCTGGGGGCTGCCCGCTTCCGTGGGTCACAGCTCTCTGTTCTCTCCGAGGGTAGCTAGGAGGCCTGGTGTTGCTCTAGTGTGGTCTAGTGGCCACTTGGCCTCCCCACGTATACGTGTGGACCACAAAGGAACTTGGAGCTACAGGGATCTGTAGATTGCCCACTGCTGACACTGGCCCAAGGAAAGGGGACCCTCAGATGTCCTTTTCCCAAGTCTGTCGAGGATGTTGCTGGCATGGCGCTCCTCCCTAGCTCTGACATGAGCTCTGGCCGCAGTAGTCTGTGTCCTCTTCAGGGCCTCTGCTGGATTGCCAGGTTCCCATCTGGTTTGGTGGAGGGGGTTGTGGGGAGGGTAGAGTAGTTGGTGCTCATGGTTTTTGTCTAAGAGAAAAATGAGATGGGAGAAATCAGGGCTGACCTGGTTATAACTGAAGATAGGCAGTTGTGGAGCCCCCCATCCTGGTGTGAGTTCAGGTAGCCATCAGTCTCAACACGGGATCTATCTGCTCCTGTCTGTGGCTGGGGATGGGGCCCACTGGAGGCCTCTTGGCAGGAGGAGCTCACTGGCGTTTAGAGATGGAGGGAGCTCAGGCACCAGGCTGAGCTGTTCCCAGGTTTGTCACAGGCCAAATTGCCAACTTGCATTTGGCCTTCGTTCCCCCTGACCCCAGCTTCCTGCCATTGTTACCGTTATGTTGTAGCTTAAGCCCCGATTTACCTTTAAAGGAAGCTTGCAGACAATGGAAAAGGCAAAAAGAAAAAGCCAAAGACAGTCGATGGGGCTGGGAGTCAGAGAGTGTGAGTCCCAGCTCTGTGTTTCTGTCTCCTCCAGTTTTGACCTTCTGACTCCCAGACTTCCTTTCCCCCTCTAGAGTGTTCTGAGCTGGTAAGTTGGGTTCTGGCCTGCCTTGCCCTGACTATACACTTCACGATCCACCAGAGTGAGGAAGAGTAGACCTCCTGGGACATCAGGCCCCTTGGGACTGCTCCGGCACCCTGCGAGCAGACATCAGGGTGACCTTGCTCTTTACCTTGGATGATTAGCCTGTCCTCTCGCACAGCCCTCAGCATCTGTGTGCTTCACAGACACAGGTTACCCTGTAGGACTTTGGGCTGTTTATTTATTTACACAACCTCCATTTTCAAAGGGATTTGTTTAAAATGACAAGACTTTCACCTTTACTTGGAAAATGAAGATCCATTTACCGAACGCCCTTCTTGACTCCTAAACTCTGTGGTAGTTCATTTGCACTTTTAATTTCGAGTGCCTGCTAATGAGGCCAAAGTCAAGCGTTTGTTCTCTCTGAGGCCAAGCAGCTCGGTCCTGTGCCAAGACGGCAGCCTGTTCCCTGACCCAGGCCCTGAGGCTTGTCTCTAGCCTCCTAGAATTCTCTCCTGGAGGGGTAACTGCTCTCTGGATGGCCAGTGCTGTGCCCTTAGTAGAACCCCCAGTACTGCTACAGCCCAGAGCCTGTCTTCTCATCCTAAACCTTGTAGTGATTCTTCTGCCTCGGGTCAAAGCACAAAGCTGGGAGGCAGAAACCCCGCAGCTCCTTCTGAGAGCTGGTCCCTGTATGTCACGTGCAGATTCTGCGGCCCTTTTCTAGCCATTAGGTGGGAGTGCCTGGGGAAGGGCAGTGACACCCCCTTACCCCTAAATAGGCAGTGCTCACTCCTCTGGGCCCTCTTGGCCCTGCAGTCAAGAGACTCACTTCCAAGGGCCTTCAACAGAGGTTTCCCCATCTCCTCGTATTTCTCTGGTCACTATGACATGTTTATTCTCCACAGTTTTCTTACCTCAACACTTACTACAGGCTTAAAATCCTTTTTCTCTTTGTAACACTGTGACATAAAGCCAAGAACGTTTTCCCACAGTCCACTCTAGCATTGAACATAATAGGACTTCATTCATGAGTTGTTATCGTATAGAACCAATGAAAATTCCATTTTGTTTGTTTGTCTATATTTACTCTTCATTTGTATTGCTATATTATTTGAGAATTCCAGGATTGCAGAGCATGAGTATATGTATTTGTGTGATTCTTTAATTTCAGCTGCCTTAGGTTTGTGTAAAGATGTAAAGGAAGGTAAGTGATTTTCTATGAATCGTAAGACATTAGTTACCTGTCACATTTGGTGAAAATGATGTCCTTATGTGTGTATTTTATTGGTGACCCTGAACTATCATCCATACAAACTCAAGTAGTGACAGGTATCTTTACCTGTTTTCACCACAGCTCAGTAGCAGTTTGGGGGAAACCACACAGTGGACCATCTCCCTGGTGTAGCCCTGGGAGGGGTAGAGACAGCAACACACAGGTGGAGTCTCAGAGAGCTTCAAGGTTCACAGGAGATGGGAACAACTAACTCCGTGGCATAGGAAAGTTCTTTAAGGCAGAACTTTTTGTGTTCAAAGTGTTTATTTTGTCCTGAGAGAACAATTCATTCATTGGCTTAAAATATAAAATTCAAGTTGCAAATGTTCATGTGCCTGAAAGCTGAGGGAAGTTTTAGAAACCTGTCCAGTGTCCCTCTCCTTGCTCACCAGGGTATGGCAGAACTTTCTAGTTTCTCCTGGTGCTTCCGCCAAGATGTATGTTTAGTGCAGTTCTGTTCTGTTTCTTGATTGGGCGGTGGTGGAAAGAATGGTACGTGAGAAAGACTCCTCCCTAAGAATGCCCTAGCCAGAGAGAGAGAGACCCCTGTGCCCCCTGCTTTGCATTGCTAACAATTATTAGCATTTTACAGTTCTTTAATGCAACCTAATAGGAAATGATTATTCAAGACAGACTCCTCTGGGAAATGCATAACCCAGCAGGCACTGGTTCCTTGCCAAGAATCCTGAGTGGTTTGTTATTTTGTATTAAGTCACATCCTTCAAATATTGTGTGTGTTGGAGCAGCTAAAGAACTGTTCATCCCTTATGAGTAATTGACATTCAGGTTGCCCAACTCTGTGCATACAGATGTCTTATCTTTAATTGCTGGCCTGAAAGTAGATAGAGCTGCCCAGGACCTGGCTGATGTAGCTAAGGGATGGAACTCTTCTTTTGGGACCATTACTAAAATTTGGAAATGGAGTCAGAGCCTCATCTCTGCAGAGACTGTCAGTGTGTATGGTGTCATGTAATCTCTAATATTTGTTCCTACAGTCTTTTTTCATATGACTGTTATTTGAGGGAAATGACAACCATTCCCCTATGATGCTCCTAGCTTTTTTGTTTAGTATTTTAAAAAAATCCTGCAATACTCAGTGAGGAAAACATTCGAGTTCATTCTCCCCAGGACCAGCGGTAGCATGTGTGCAGGGCAGTTGGAGAGGTGATGACTGACTGCCCCTCTTGGCCTTTTTCCTCCACAGGGATATCTGCGTTACCTCCACCTCCTCCACCTCCGCCTCCACCACCAGCAGCTCCCTTGCCTCCCACGAGCACCGAGGCGCCTGCCCAGCTCTCACCCCAGGCTGTGAATGGTGTGAGCCGAGGGGCCTTGCTCAGCTCCATCCAGAATTTCCAAAAAGGAACTTTGAGGAAAACTGAAACCTGTGATCACAGTGCTCCTAAGATCGGCTGAAGCTTCCTGTTTACACTTGGAGGGAAAATGTCTTTTTCTTTTTTTTTCCTACTCACCCCCACCCCCTAAAGTATCCTCTTCCTGGGTAAATAATTGCTGAGCCAGTACAACCACGTACAGCACTATTTTGCAGATGGTCATGTAAGAGGTTTTTCAAGAGAGAAATATTCTTCGAGTAGAATAAAGTTAGGCTGGCACTGCTGCCTTAAGAAATATTTTGCTCCTTTATTATCACTGTAAAGGAGTTTTATTCATCCTCTTAACAGGCATCTTTTGGGGGCAGCAGCATATTGGAATCAGTATTTTCACCGACTAAAGGAAATGGACGGAAAAACAATGACAACGTTCAGTCACAGCAGTGAATGGCCTTTGCGTTGCAATCCCTTCCACCCCGTCAGACAGCTCCTAGAAATGTTCCTCTCACAGTTCATTTCTCTGAAGCGTTTTCTGGTTATTTCTTAGATAACTCCCATTTTTGCTACCCTTATCTTAGACGTTAACACTGTAGCCCAAAGCATAGTTCTGTTGCCGAGTCAGAGAAGCAACTGAGTTCTTCACTTTCCCCTCAAGTAGGATGGGGAAATTTCTTAAAATATTCTCTTAAGTTCTAACAGGAATACCATTGTGATTATAGAACTCAGGGCTGCTAAAGCAACTACTTTAGACCTATAGTTCTTTTTAGTTAGAATGTATTGAAACAGACAAAAAAAAGTTAAAATCAGAAAACCTCTTGCCAATTAGAGGATCTTTGTAATCCTCAGCAATTAAGTCCACTTTGGGGCTTGGGGAGTCATTATTACAATGTCAGTAAATTTGGCATCTATATAGAAAACAATTCTGACTTATGAAAGACTTATCTAAATACATCATCTTTTTAATGTTGCTCATTTATTAGAAAGAGCCTTCATCCTATGATTTGCTTAAACCTTTAAATAAATTGCACTTTAAAGGATTATAAATAATCCATTTAAAAATTGAAGTACACACATCAGTGTTGGTTACTATGCAGAGAGAATGTCATTGTGTATAGTTTCATGTAATCTGTCATAAATGTCAGCTGTATTTTTTATTAAAATAAACCACGTCAAGAAAATGTGTTGTGTGTAGGTGGGCTAGATAGTTCAAATGAGAACTTTTTGTAGCATCTTTTGTAAACATACAGATTCACACAGTCTCTCTAAAGTTTCCTTCCTATCTGTCCTGTTTTCTCTTCTGTCTTATTTTCCCTCTTAATAAGAGCTACTAATCCTGTCTTGCTCTTTTAGTTGGGTACTACCTATGCTTCTATAACTGATTTAAACCCATCTTTTCCATCTCAACTTCTAAAGAGGGCAGTATATGACAGACTGTTTTTTGGCAGTGGGACAAATACCTGACGTAAACTTTGCTTTCATTTTAAAGGGAACCCTATTAGAATTAGGCATTTGGAGAGTATGTGGACAAGTTCCTGTCCCAGTGTGATGCAACCGAGGTGATTAGTTCCTGATGGAGGTTGTGAGGCCTGAGTTCTTCTGAAATCAGTTTTGCTATTTTGGATAGTTTCAGATATTTCAATAAAAACAGGCAGTGGTTTTGTACAGTACCAGCTTTTTTTCCATTTGGCACTAACTTCTTAATAGAATTTCAGGATTTCCCCCCACATTTATTCTTTCAAGAATATAAAAATACAATTGCTCATAGTCAGGAATTCCTTTATTCCTTATCAAAACAATCTAACAGCAAATGATTATATGCTTTTATTTTATACATATAAGTTATCTTTTTTTGGATATATCTTTCAACAAGACTCTGTCACATTCATGTTTTGTCCTTATAGTGAAAGAAGGTAAAATTTTACATTAATCTTATTCAAAGAACATGGCAACTGTAACAGACAAAAAGTAGCTTGGAGTCTAGAGCAGAAGAGTGGAGAATTCTCCACACATACACACATTTAAAACTTCTTCCCAGTACAAAAACATCTGTTGTTGCTTTAGAGATCATTTTCCTTTATGAACAGTAAGGTCTCACAGTACAATCCACGTGAAGTGCCAGCAAGTATTTCAAATAAATTTCAATGACTTGATATTCAAATCCAAACTAGATATTTAATGTTTTCTTTATTGCAAATATGATGTCTTTGACCTGAGGTACAGAGTTGTCTTCTAGAATCTTTGCATAAGGCATAGGGACGTCAGCACCAGTGACACGAACAGCGGGAGCATCCAGGAAATTGAATGCAGGACCTAGGAGAGAAGGCAGGCTTAACAGAGAGAGAGGCAAGAAAAGCCCTAAATACTACCCACCTTGGCACAGAGGTGTGTCTGCTCAGGAAGAGAAAACATAACGCAAAGGAATGTTAATTGTGGGGAACTGTTTCCGGTTTTGATTTTTTAAACATTTACCCTAAAGAGACATTCCAAAATGACAAGTTGAAAAGTTCAAGTCATTTGGCCACCCCTAGCTTTCAATCTCCTTATCCAGTATGTATTCAGGTACACAATGTTTATTATAGCTTGACTGTATTCTAGAACCAGTTTCTCTGAAATACCTTCCATGATCCTGGCACAGATTTCAGCTCCTACTCCAAACTGTGGCCAGCCTCCTTCCACGGTTATGAGATGATTTGTCTTCACAACACTGGCTTCTATGGTTTCAATGTCCATTGGTCTGATGGTACGCATATTTATCACCTGAACAGATAATATAATAAATAAGTCTCAGAGAGCTATTGCACCACAAATAGATCCTTGTCCCCATAATGCCATCCTTTTTTGTTTCTTGTTAATCTTTGGGTTTAGGGAAATCTTATCTGCCTATGAACAGTTACATGGATGTTCAAACTGTAAAGGAGAAATTAATTAAAATAAAAAACCTCTATCTACTCTGTCCCGATAGGATTCATTTATCCTTATTGGCTTTAACTTCCCTCTTATAAAAATAAATAATAGCTAACATTTGAGTGCTTACTGTGTACCAGACACAACACTAAGTGTAATTCTCACAACCACCCTATGGTAGAACAGTATTTATATTATCCCTATTTTATAGCTGCTGAAACTGAGATTTAGAGTTCATAACTTGCCCAAGTATAACTAGCAAGTGGTAGGTTCTGGATACGAGGCTTACAATCATTAACTTCTGATTTTTCCCCCAGCTCTAGCTCCAAGGCTGGATCTTAACTTGAGAAAGCAGGTACTATTCTAAAAGATCCAGAACCTAAGTGGTAAAAAGCTAAGTATTAATATTTGAAATGCAAGCAGGTTCCCGGCTTTAAGCAAAGACAGAAATGCGTGACAAAGCAAGACTTTACATCTAGTTAACCTGTTACAGAACTATTTCTGGGAGGCTTTTAAAAGGAGCCTTTCTGAGTCTTTAAGAACAAGTGAATGTCCACTCACCTCACATTCAATTCCCTCTTTAGACAACACCGTTGCAGCTTCTAAGCAGTGGCCCACAGGTCTTGAATGGGAAACCACGGTTATATGTGTCCCTGAAACAGAGTGGTTACAGATCAGAGGTTGAAACTAAAGACGCTATACCACTCTGCAGCCACCTGTGGCTCTAGTTCATTTATAAAGTCTTCAACTCAGCTTCATTCCAGTGAGCTGAGGAATGTGGCAGCCTTCCTAGAAACAAAATACAAATCTACTGGACTGAGACTGAGAAAAGCACAAGTGAATGAGAAATCAGGGCATCACAAATTCTTAACTTGAGCTCATCCTATAATTTTTTAGTCAAAGTAATTGGCAATAACTCCTAGATTAAATCTGACCAACATTAATAGAGGGGCTGGATTAAAAATGTTTAAATGTATGCTAAGTTCTCTCACCTTGTCTTTCTATTTTGGCTTTTCCAATAGGAATGAGGAAATCTTTTGACTGAGCTTCAGCAGGAAATTCAAAAGGAACTCCATACATCAATTCGTTCTCTAGCACCACCACTGCAAAATATCATAAATATTTAAACAAAAGTAACTAATTACATCCAGAATGACTAAAAACGTATATATGGCAATATCATTTCTCTTGTGTAAAGTTTCACTGTGCTGATTAGGGAGCCTTGTTTCTCTCATGTCTGGTAGCTGTGAGGATGGTTTAGGTACTTACATTTGTAGTTTGGTCAATATAATTTTATCAGTTGAGGTTAAACCAGTGTTGTGGGTGTGCAGTAAGTGTCTCCTTTACTTAACTGGCCCCCTTATAGTCAGAAATAAGAAAACAACCACATTCTTTACTATCCTTACTAAATCTATAAATCAGTAACATTTTATATGCTATGTCTAAGCCTAACTAAAAGACTTTAATGTTTCCTACAATGCAAAGATTTCATCTTAGTTTTTTAATCTCTAAAAGAGACCCAAGGGTCACTCTGCTGACCTGGATTGTTATCCCGAATGGCTGATTTTATAAGTCCTTTGGCATCCTCTGAACTCCAGGGGCTGACCACCTTTAAGCCTGGGCAGTGCCCGTACCACGCAGCAAAGCACTGTGAGTGTTGAGCAGCTACGCCTGCTGAGGCACCATTGGGCCCCCTGAAGACTATGGGCACAGGCTGAAGGCCCCCTGACATGTAGTAGGTTTTGGCAGCTGAGTTTATAACCTGGTCAATGGCTTGCATAGAGAAATTGAAGGTCATAAATTCACAAATGGGCCGCAACCCAGCCTGTCAAATAAAAAACATGGAGGTTATAAAGACTAGAAAGAGCAATGAAGAAGAGCAAACAATCCCTCCATTTCTCCAACATTCAAATGTTTTTAAAAGCTTATGTTAAAAGAAATCTCTTTAAATTAGCTTCATAAGAAGTATCACATACCATAGCTGCACCTACAGCAATTCCAGCAAATCCCATCTATAAAGCAGAATACAAATGTAGGTGAAAATCCATAAAAATGAGGACAATGAACACAAACAGACATGCCTCTCAAAGGTCTGCTTCCTGCTGGAAGGCTTACTTCGGATATGGGAGTGTCTATGATCCTCTTGTCTCCATATTTCTTCCACAGGCCTCGACTAACCTACAATTAAGAGTCGATCCCTTTACTTTTAAGTACATCTGGGCCAATAGCCTCTTCAATTTTGTATAACTTCCACACATTTTAGTTACCTTGTATGCCCCATCATACTGGGCAACTTCTTCCCCAAGCAGAAATACCTTCTCATCTCTTTCCAGCTCCTCATCCATACCTTGATTTATAGCATCACGAACTGTCACCTGTCACAGGTATGGGAAAATAGTTGATAAACTACAGGATTATTTAGGATTCTATTGAGATTCTCTTCTTTTATTCCTAGGCTGCCCGCAGCATGCAATATAAAAACTAACACTAGAAAAGGCTTCTCTTTAAAAGTTCAAAGAATTCTAAAAGTAACATTTCTATCACACAGAATCAGTCTTTGATTGGATGTATTAATGGTAAGTTTACTGAACACATTCCTTGATTTGCATCCACGCTTAAGAAACCTGCTTGCTGGCCAGACTAGCTCACAGGCAGTTTCCCAAGTAGAAAATACACCGGGTTGTTTTATTACCATGCTTGGAGTTGATCACTCACTAGGTGGCACGCACTGCCAAACACTTTACATGCAGGAGGTAGGAGTTCTTATCTTAATATATGGAATGGTGGATTCCTCTAATTAAAAAAAAAAGGGTGTGGGGGGGAGCCATATAATCCAGCAATTTCACTTCTAGGTATATACCCAAAAGAACTGAAAGCCGGGATTCAAACACATAGTTGCACACCAATGCTCACAGCTGCATCATCCACAATAACCAAAACAACCCAAATGTCCATCGTTGGATGGATAAAACGTCCACACAGTGGAATATCATTCAGTTTTACAAAGGAATCAAATTCTGACACATGCTACAACATGGATGAACCCTGAAGACATTATGCTAAGTGAAATAAGCCAGACATAAAAGTACAAACGATTCCACTTATATGAGGTTTTACCAAAGGCAAACTCGCAGAGACAGAAAAGTGTAACAGAGGTTAGCAGGGGAGGGGGAATGAGGAGTTACCGTGTAACGGATAAAGAGTTTCTGTTTGGGATGATGAAAAAGTTCTTTAAATGGATAGTGCTGACGGTTGTGAATGTACTCAATGACACTGAATTATACACTTTTAAAAAGTACATTTTAAGTTGGGTATATTTTACTACAATTAAAAAAAAGGGGGGGTGAGGGAGGAAACATTTAGTCTTAGTTTTCTCCA